GGCCACTGAGGGGGGAAAATACAGTTTCTAGCAAGTAGCCTCAGTAATTAAAAGAAAAGCTCAAAGACCACCTTAGAAGGTATTTTTAGATTATTTGGTTTGTTAAAAAGACATCGCTCATACCCACTTACTATTCCCACTCTCTCTAACCGACTGACCCAAATACACAAGAAACCCTTCCTGGTTGGCCTGCTTACACAGAGGGAATCCGCATAAGATCCATGCAATGACCTTTCTGGATTCCTTTCCACGAATTTGATGGCTTTTTACCATAATTTCATACTAATACCTGCTTCTAATAAACTAGCTCAGTAAAATCTCACAGTTAACTAGAGAGACCACAATGGACTTCAAAATGTGCTGATTTTTCTCTGGCTCTATGGAAGCTGGAGGGCCAATGCCAAGAGGACTCTTGACTATAAGATTTATAAGTGAAGGGGCCAGGAACTGGACCTGTGATTTCCCTAATGAAGGGACCTCTCTGCCACGTGTAAATAGCCTGACCAGGGCAGGCTGGGCCCCTCTCTCCAACTGGAGACCTCAGAGTTGTCTAGAACACTGAGAGGTAGCGGGACCTGCTCAGGATCACAGAGAAGGGCACAACTTGAACTTAGGACTCCTTGGGTCTAAAGCCAGCTCTCTATTCACTACCCAATAGTGCCTTCCCCAGAATCTGATTATTTAAAATAAATGGTAACTGGATAAATACTGATCAATGTTACTCATCCTTCTTAGATTGCTGCTTCTTAAGCTGAAGCTAGCTTTATTGACACCATATCTTAGAAAACCCCACTGGCCAACCTTTCCAAATGCCTTGGGAAGCACCAGTATATCCTACCCGCTTTTTCTTGCCACATTTCACAGGCCAGTTTCATCACCAACCTTTCTCTCCCCTGCCCCACTTCCACAGTTAGAAGGGTCAGTACGAGAGACATCACGCAGTGACTTCAGAAGCAGAGCGTGTTGTGCCTGTTTCTATCAGGAACTGGGAGAAGGCCAAATAGCTTTTCTAAAACCACTGGAAACCTGGCTTTATGTTTATGACAACGATTAAAGAATACCTTCTTAAGGAAGGATCGGATCTTCTCAGTGTCTTTAGCAGCAAAAATATGCCAAAGAGCTCCTGGTTTCTCTTTTCCTTCAATAAACCGCTTTATTGTGAGCTCATCACAGTCACCATCTTGGATAGTTTTAAGTACTTCTGTTGTAGGGGAGAGACGCAAAACAGATGTAAAAGGAACACTGTGCACACACACAGGGGCAAAAAGCTTCAGCACGTGTGTTCACATAACACGATCTTACCATCCTCCTGGTCGAGCTGTCCGGCAGGGATGCCCACGTAGACCATTACATTAGCTGCATCGGATATATCTAAATGAAGATTTGTCGTTCCGTACTTCCTGTCTTCTGGTGTGATTAACCCTGTGAGAGAGAAATGGCTACAATTAGAAGAGGACGCTGGAGTTGGGGTAGTAAGGCAGAACTACCACAGGCATGCTGGGCAACATCCAATTAGTCATAGACTAGCACCTGGTACAGCGTCACACAACTAGGACTGTGTCGGCCTCTAATGCGAGGTGGAGGCAGCACGTTCTAAGAGCAGAAACTCCAGGCTCTCCTTATCTCCCCACGTCCAGGAGCAGCACAGATCCAGCCCCTCTCCTGTTCCTCTGTGCTCCACAGTGCCGCGTGATTCAGTTTTCTCCTTTCTCACTGCCATGCTTTAATTAACTACACCTTTTCAGAGGTTCACTCCATTCGAATTTACTGTCCAAGCAGCTCTCTTGGCACCCATAACATTTTCTCAAGGAATTCGATACTGGCTCACCTTTTCTCCTTCAATTCCTGTTAAGTGACTTCAACATGGTCACGTCTCCTGGAAAAACCTTAACCTCCCAACTCCATAGATTGGAGGACGGGAGTCAGGAAGACCCGAGGTCAATCCCAGGCCCAGACACTTCTGAGCTGTGTGAACCTGGACAAGTCATTTAACCTCTCTGCCTCAGTGTCTTCAATGGCAAAATGAGGTTCTTAACAGTTCCCGCCTCCCAAGGTGGTTGTGAGGATCAAATGAAGTATTTGTAAAAGCGCTTAGCACAGTGCCTGGCACGTAGGAGTTTAATAAATGCTTATTTCCTTATCTCTTTCCCATGATCGTCACTCCACACCAGCAGCTCACAGCAGGGGTTCTCATCATCACCCACAAGGGTTCTGCCTTCAGCGATCAAATGACCATAGCGTACCATCATTTAGTCATCTACCGTGTGCCTCACTTGTCCAAAGGACATCAGGACAACATCCTTTCCATCCTGCAGCACTGGCCCAGGCTCCATGTCCTTGCTGCTAACAAGTTCAAGGGTGCTTCTGCTCTCCAACCCTTTGCTCAGATCTTCCACAGATGCCCCAACCCCTGAGGCATTATTCCTGTTAAACTCTAGCAAAAGAAATCATCTAATTCTCCTTCTACCGCTTCCATTCCTACCTGGGTGCTGCTAAACAGGGCTGGAGGAAATCGCACGACCAAGGCAACATGGTTACGGAAAAGGCCTCTTCATTTCCCAAAGACAATCCCTTCTCTCCCACCCTACCCTCTCTCCCATGCTTTCAGCTGAAGACGACCTTGCCTCATGCTTCCCTAAGACATCTGAATTTCGGTGCTTCTGGCTTTTCTTCCAGATTGTCCCTCACTTCTGTGTATTTGCCTTCCTAGTCAGTTATTCTCCCATTTGTTTCATTGGTGAGGTTTCCACCACAGGCCCCAGTGTTTTGATTCTGCCCATCATCTCTTCTCACTGCTCATTTCGCAGCAGCACGCTGTGGTTCCATGCTTTTCTCAACATCCATAGGGTTCTCTGCCCCATCCGCTGTTCAACTCTCTTTCTTAATTTTGCAGCATTAATTTACTTTTCTTCCTCCTGAGATTTCTGGTAGATTTGCCCCTTTCTTTCTCCTACTGCTCGCTTTCTGGCTCCTGTACCTCAGGTGGTGGTTACCCTGGATGCCTTCTCCCATACTGAACAACGCTCGGTTCAGCAGCCTACGTCCCTGAATCGAGTGATTTGGGGGGGGGAGCGGGAATGACAGAATTGGCCCTAGAGGGATGACGGTTGGCTGGGCTCTTTCCTTCTACCCCACCCCCATCCCACAGCCAGCACCCTAATTCAGCCTCTCATCTCCTTTCTCCTGGAGGGGCTGGTGTGGGTGGAGGGCCTGATTTGTCTATTATCATGTCTCCCCCATCTCCAGTCTATCCTCCACACAGCTGCCAAAGTAATTTTCCTAAAACGCAGGTTTGACCGCATCCCTCCCTTCCTAAATTAACTCCATAGCTTACTGTCATTTCAGAGGGCACATCACATACCTGCTCTGCATTTAAAGCCACTTAAAGGCCCAGTCGCTGACACTCCCAGCTCTACACCACGTACGGCTATCCCCGTACCTCCAGTGCGCTCCCATTTCACCTCTGGCCCCCACTATCCCTTGTCTCCTTCAGAATGTGGCTTGAGCCGGACCTTCTGCATAAGGCCTCTCCTCATCCAAGCTCTTAGTGCTTTCTTCCCCAGGAAGACCTTTTACCTTGCATTGTGTATATGCGTGCACATATTATCTATTTTGTATCTATCTTGTCCAGATTTGTATCCATGTTACCTCACCCAGTAAAAATGAAGCTCCTTGGGGATAGGGTACCTAACACTGCCAGGCATACATCTGCACCTAGTGAGGAACTTCCAGGAAAACGTAAATCAAACTAACTGCTCTCCCACAACAACCTCAACATTTTTGTTAACTGACATTTTACTACACTGGGTGGATAGGGACCCACCAAGTTACTCCTGAAACAAATAGCTATGAACCCATGGATGGTGAAAAAGGCAACTACAAATGCAGGGCAACGTTTCCACATTCCACCCCCTGCTGGATTCTAGGGATCTGCCTGCCTTACAGCAGCAGCGGGCAAACTTGCTTCTCCTCAAAGCTGCTCAGTCACCCACAAGCAGCCATTTTCAACTCACTTGGCCTTTCGAGATTAAGATGTAGGGGGCTATCATGTTGCTTCATTCATCAAATTCGAGGAAAAAAAAACTTGCTTGTTTTCTGCTATAGGCAGGTAGTGAGAAGTCAAGCGAGGAAATCAGAGGTCTGGTTCAAATCCTAACTATGCACTGTCTCCCTGTGTGACCCCCATGGACCTTTCTGGCACTGTTTCCTTATCTGAAAAAGGGCAAGAATCCTTGCTCTGCCCACCGCCCTTAACATGTTTCTTCTGCAACCAAGACAAATACATAGAAAAAAGATTTGGGAGATTATAAAAATAGGACAGAGGAGGAAAAGAGATGGAAAGGGGGGCATTTGAGAAGAGGAGGAAGCACTGTGAAAAGACACAAAGAAGCCGCTCTAGAGAGAATAAAGTTTTCGGAAGGGAACTGCAGTCTTCACACCCCGCCTCTCACTTCTGCCAAGGGCACTGGATTAAGTGATCCCTGTCCTTGGAGATGGGTCATTAAAAACTTCAGTTGTAACCCACGACAGCTGATATTCCTGCCGCTGCTCTCACATCCTCTGTCTGCATTTTGGCAGCGGACACAGGCCAGGGCAGGACTGCATGCTTTCACTCTGGCCCGCAGCCACAGGACTCAGGCCTGGGCTTCCGTCTGAGCCCCACTGGGCCTGAACGTGTCTCCCCTCTCCCCACCAGCAGAGGGCGATCACTCTCTGATCTCAAGAGCCCTGGCTGTATACTGTACATGGCTTTCCAAAATTTGGCTCCTTCGCTTACCAGGAGGCTGAGGTTTTAAAGGACTGGCCAGTTGTTAATCTACTGACTACTGCTTGTGGTAATAAAAATAGGACAACTTATTACAGGCACTGAACTTTAACTGTTAAAATTAAGAGGTGTCCTCACAACAGTCTGGTATTAATGATTAGTACATAGGCTCATGAGCAAACCAAATTCTTTATTAATAAAATCACTCAATAGTGACCATGTAAAGTTACATTTAAGTACATTTTTATTTTCTGAATAGTTTCACCAAGACCATTTTTACATTTTACTGTGGGAATAGGAAGTGTGTATAATAGGAGGAAATCTATGTTTGTATTTTTCTAGAAATTTCTAGCAATTTTCAAATCACTTGGCCTTTCAAGACTAAAGGTAGGGGGCTATCATGTTGCTTCAGTCAACAAATTCAAGAAAAAAAATACGCTTGTTTTCTACTATGGGTATGTAGAGAGAAGTCACGCAAAAAATCATCAGTGAGAGGAAATCAGAGATCTGGGTTCAAATCCTAACTACGCACTAGTCACTGTGTGACCCCCACAGACCTTTCTGGCACTGGTTCCTTATCTGAAAAAGGGCAAACATTTTTGCTTGTTTGTTGACTGCTCTCCCTAACTACAACCTGCCGTGAGTGCGCGGAAACTTTGGCCGAGCGTACTGCTCTTCTTTCCCACAAATAGATTTTTTGCTTGTAGCCTCTAAAAGCTCTTTGGACCAGTATTTGGAGTGCTGGAACTCAAAATGATGACCTGAAGCTGACAAAGAAAGTGAAGGCTGAATGGAGTAACCTGAATTCAGGGCAGCCAGGCTACAGGCATTTTGTTTTTTGACAGGCAGTCGACACCGATACCTTGGCAAAGCAGTGGGGCAAGTGTATTCTGGTAGTGAGAGGGTACAGCAAGAATACCTGGGCTCTTCCTGTGCCTTTGGCCATTAATGCCTGGATGACCTTGGCCAAGTCCTTCCCAAGATTCCGTTTCCTCCGCTGTTACAGGACAGGGTTAGATGAGCTGGCCTTTTCAGTCCCTTCCAACTCTCTCACTGTAATCCTATGATACTAAGGAGGCCTTTCTTGTGGAAAGGCTGGAGAGACGTTGGGCAGATCTAAACCAATTAAACGTCCAGATCCCAAAAGTCAATAATTTGATGTCACAGGAAAATGAATGAAAATGCATTATTAAAGAGCTTAACTCTACGTGCTGGGCACACAAACAGAAAGGGACAGGCAGTTCCTGCTCTCAAGGAGCTCACATTCTAATCAGAAGAGACTACACATGAAAGAAAGTTTGGTTGTTAGATGACCAGAGAGGCCAGGAAATCCAAAGGTGCAGAGTCAGAGGCAGATGGCAATGCCCTGGAGTACAGATTACATCAGGAGGTCCTATGGCAGGGGAGGAAGTGGTCAGCGGAGCACCAATATGCCCCGTCTACCTGTGTGTGGCCCTGGGGCTATATAACATTATTATTAATGACCTGCACAAAGCCCTAAACAGCACACGTGGCAAGTCTGAAGAGGACACAAAACTGGAAAGAAGGCTGACGCAATGAGTCAGGATCCAAAAGGAGATCTTGATGGTCTTTCCGAGGTGGCAGTGGGTTAGTTAGTGGTTTGTCTGAAAAAGATCTGGTAGTTTCAGTGAGCTAGCGGCAAGCTCCCTGAGTCAACGATTTATCAGTGCAGAAAGCTAAGTACTAGAGAAGTGTTACATTTAGGATTAGTGAGGTGATAGTTGTGTTGAATTTCTCATCCTGATCAGAACCCATCTGAAGCCTGGTTCAGGTCTGGATACCATGTTCCATTTCAAGAATGACAGTGGGTAGGTCCAGAGGAGGGGAACCAGTATAGGCAGGGGCCACCTAAGAATCTGTGAGGAATTAGGACCGAGACGCAGAAGATGCAAAAAGGCAAATGTGGGCTTGATGGCAGGACCAATTTCCTCACAATTACAACTATAAAAATGGAAGGGGTTGTAGCAGGATGAGCTTTTCTGAGCTTGGCTGGCCCCTTCCTCATTTCAGGGATGTGCTGAATCAGATGGCCACAGCACCCCAATACCTGAGAATAAAAGATTAAAACCAGAATCTTCCTCAGACACGGACACTACTTCCTCCAACCTCACTCTCAATCATATGAGATTCAGGGAGCTCAAAGCTTACACATCAAAGTTGCCTTAACTATTGGCAATGCCTTGTGTATTTGGTAAGATTGAGTTTCCACTGTTGAAATGTGAATTAACTGTCTGGCAGAAAAGTGAACCTAGAGTTCATACCTCCTCCAACATTAATTTCAAATATTTTTGCATATTTAATTCAAATTTGCCCCTAAATCCAACCCAAACATTCAAGTCCCTGCTATATAAGGCATTAGGCCCAAGGGCACAAAAGGAAAGAAAATGTAAGTGTTCATGCCCTCAAGGAGCTGGCTTACAATTCCCCAGCAGCAAAGCCCTTTACAGAATCCCCTTGGAGACCTCCCCTCTTCCTCCTCCAAGCCAGAGGTAAAGCCAGAACAAGCAGCCCCTCCCAGGGCATGTCCTTAGAGCTCTAAATCGGGTGTGAGTAGAGTGGAGGTGGGGTTGGGGGGGAGTTTATCTCCAAAGCGGCAGCACTGTGGGCAGGGCTCTTCTGTACAAACCCTGCCACCCTGCCCAACTGCCCTTCAACCACCCTAAGTGCCCTCCTTAGCTGAAAATCTTACATGTTTTATGTTATGAAGACAGTTTTCATTACAGGGAAGCTGAGTAACATTTTCCTGAAAACTCATTTTCAACACACGAAGTCCTTTGTTTTTAATTGATCAATTCTAGAAGAGTAGTTTCATCTATGGCACGGGAAAGTCTTTTTTTCATGGAATATCACTACTATTTACTGGTACTTAGCAAAGACATTAAATCAAAGAAGGATTTTGTTTGTTTCTGGCTAAGATAACATAGGATAGAAAGATCTGAGCTTGGTTTAATTTGTAAAATAATTACCTTTATTCTGCAAAGACCAGTCAGTGGGGTCAAGTGACCCAATTCTGAACAATGCAATGAAAAAATTTAGAGGCAGCATCAGCTGTCCTTTTCAAGTCACTGTTATTGACTCAGAATATACATTATTACAACTTACCTAACATGATGGAAAAAGTAGCAGACTGTTACTCACCATAAGCATTATACATCTTGGGACCCAGATCTGGACGCACAAAATAATTCGGTAACCTGGAGGCCAAATTCAGTTTGCCATCTCTCCTGGTATACTCAGGCAATGGGATGTTTGTCATCAAATCTTCAAACCTAGTATCAGACAATTGTGAATTTCTGAACTGAGACACTGCTTTTCTTGTAAATTTAACAAATGTATGTTTTATTTCCTATGAAAGTACACGTTTAGGGGCAGCCGGGTGGCACAGTAGATAGAGCACTGGTCTTGGAGTCAGGAGGACCTGAGTTCAAATCTATGTGACCCTGGGCAAGTCACTTAACCCCAATTGCCTCAGAAAAAAAAAAAAAGTATACGTTTGATTCAACTGACTGGAAGGGAAACCGTCAACAAATATCTACCAAGGAAGGGGACTGCATAGTTTCAGTAGTACTAACAGCATTTCTAGATAATTGGACTTATATTTCTTTCCCAGTTGTGGTGAGCTTTTTCATCCGTCCTTTCTGAAGGAGACTTCAGCATTTGGCTCACACTCTTCCCCTCCTCCCCAACACCTGCCTTTCTGCTAATGGATTTTAATATTCAGAAACTTTCTCAAACTTCTCAACATCTCTAACCTCCCAACGGCTTGGTTTTCTTACATCCCGGGATCTTTTCCTTCACTCTCCACCAGGCAGTCACATGCTGAATCTCATTATTATCACCCAATGCCATCTCTCACCACACCTCACCCCTGAAGGCCTCACTGACACCTCCAACCCCCCTCCCCCTCAGGACCTCCCCAGGCCGTGCCCTGCTCCCACTCCCCTTTGCTCCCTCTCTAATCCTGAAGCTGGAGTCAGCCCTGAGAACACCACAGGGCACTCTGCTCTCTCGGCCCATCGCCTCTCAGCTCACTTCCCACCACCTGTCTCTTCTGTTGCCCCTCATGTCCTACTGAACAAGTCACACCATCAGGCTATTTTACTAATTCATGTTAGCCAAATTCAACTAGGCCCTCGCTGCAGCAAGGCTGTCAGTCCTTCTGGTCTACTCTTACAAAAGTGAGGCCATCTGATGTGACCTTCCCTCCCTTCTCCCTAATCTCCTCCATCTGAAACCCCATGGGCATCACCCAGCACTCTCTCCCCTGGTCTCTGACAAGATGTGGCCCTCAGTCCCATTTTTTCCAGCAGACTGACGCCTCAAATCGAGCACCAATGCTCTAATCTACAACCTCTCCCTGTCTGCTAGCTGCTTCTCTACCACCTCCAAAGACGACCAAGTTTCTCCATCTGTTAGACCCTACCATCCCCTGAAGCAATCCTTCCATTAACTCCCACCTTTCTATCCAGTGGCCCTGGCTTCTCCCTGCTGTTGCTCACACAACACAATCTATCCCACTCTGCATTTGTACTGTATGTTCTCCTGTCCCCATCTCCCCCACCCCCACCCCATGCCTGCCATTCTCTCCCTCATCTCCACCTTCTGGCTTCCTTCAAGGCTCAGTTAAAATCAGAACATCTGCAAAAAGCCTTTTCTATTCCCCCTTATTGCTAGTGCCTTCCCTCTGAGATTACCTCCATTTTATCCTGTGTTTTACATTTTGTACATTGTCTCCTCCATTACACTGTAAGCTCCTTAACGGGAGGGGCTGCATTTCTCTTTCTTTGTTTCCCTAGCACTTTGCCTAGTGTCTGGCACACAGTAGGCACTTATTTATAAATGCTTGTAGAGTTGATACTTTCTCAGCAAAGACTCACGTATCTCCCTCACCCTCTAACAAATTGTTTCAGTATCCCAAACATACTGACAGAACTGTTAATGGCTGGGACCATAATCATACCGAGAAGGCATCATATCTCTGAAATCTTCTCCTGGAGGCCAGTCCTTAAGTTTCAGGACCATTGGTTCATCATCATTTTTCAGGCGACCTTAAATAAAAGCAATAATGTGCTGTTGCCATATTCTTTACCCTTCTAGACCTTCATTAACACCAAGCTTATACAATACACAGTTTCCCTCTGACTACCAAAAGCTCTAACAAATACATTTTTTAAAAGTTAACACTTTAATGTCAGAGACAGCATGGTATACAACCTCTAAAAAACTGTATCATAAGGATCTTTTTATCTTCAGAGTTTTCTAGACAAAACTCTTCGTTTTTTCATATTTTTATTTCACTTGCTACTATTAGCAATTAAAAAGTTGTATTCAGACAGGTTCTCCTACTCAAATCCCATCTGCCCTTCATTCTGATGTTCCTTGAAATCAAGCCCCACTTGGTGCTATGGAATCATCAGGACATTAGCACTGACACACAAGAGTGAAACAACTCTTCTTAGTGCAATGAAACAGGTGGTCAGCCCTTGGTCACCTGAAACCAGCACAAAAGAGTCCCCCCACCCCCAACTGATTAGGTAATGCCAGAAGGAATAGTCTGGTTCCCAGCAGCTAGCCCAGGGTCTCCCAACACCACTATGGCAGGCTACCTCCACCGCTGATTTTGCTACTAATAATTGTTACTGATTCCTTTTTAGCCCCATCTCACATGAATAAGATGCCATCAACAGGAGGAAAGTCTGTATCACTTTCATAAATCAGAGAACTCTTTATTTAGCCTTTGCCATGCCATAATTAATTTTCATCTTCAAACACTTGTTTCAAGGAGCTACCACAAAACAAGTCAATTTTAAACAACCATACTTATTCAAAAGGAATGAGACCCTTATCCATTTATGTCTTACGATGGCCTCACCTTTACAATGAGAATGGCTCCTGTAGAAAGGTCAAATGATCCTTAGTCAACAAGTCTTTCACTTTCTTCTGTTTGATTTGCAGGGCAGATGCAATTAATAAATGTTTATTAATTGACTGATATAAATTTTCATAGTTCTATCTTTGTCATAAATTTATGTCACTTTATTTTTCTTAATCAGAGTGTGAATCTGCCCTCTCTGGCACAAGATAATCTAATCAATAGGTATTTTGTTACCTGCTTACTATGTGCCAAGGCATGTGCTCACACACAAAGGATATAAGCAAAAAGAAAAACCTAAATCATTCCCTATCCTCAGGAAGCTTACATTCTGCTGGTGTTTTCCCCAAAAACATAGCAGTACATTATGTTCTGATCCCACCTCAGTTTTTAAGCCTTTCTCTTAATAGTCTGTTACCTTCAAATTGGTTACTTTTAACAACTGGAAAAAATCGTGCAGCTCCTACAAATTTCTTGCTTGAAGCATCTGATACTAAGTGTCTAACTTAATAAGTGAAGTGATGCATGTGTTGTATTTTTAACTGAATGAGATGTTTCTCAGCTAGTGCTTTTAGACCTGTATTTCATCTTGATATCAATTTATGTCCATGCAGAATCTAACACAATACAACTAAATAAGTTTTATTTTTTAAAAATTCATCAGTTGTATTGAAAATTCCTCTCCATTCAGAAGCTGAGCAGGTAGGTGCCCTAAATGGGGTCGAGAAGAGCTGAACTGAAACAACCCAACACCACCACCACACCCAATAAAAGGCCACAAAGGCAGTTCCTTTTAGCATGCCTCTTAAGATCGCTTCAGGGTCAAGAGGGCCTTGCTGGTGCCCACTTCCCAGCACACCCCCACCATCCTCCTTCATCTGGACCCTGTGGCACCTACTTGGGATATCTTCAAATCCGTCCCAGAAATCTCCCACTGTGGCCCCTGTAATGATCTCATTAGTTCTGCAGTTGACTAGATCCACCTCCTGCTCTCCAAACTCCTTCCGGAAGGAGTCGGGTTTCCACAGCTCTGCATTCAGTCTGTGATGCACTCCAGATACCATCACAGGCTGTGAGGAGGAAAGAAAGAAAGACGTGTCAGTGATCTTCTCTTCACGACATTTTTCTTTACCTGCCCTCAGAATCTCTTCTCTCCTTTGCACTCTGTCATCCACAGGTATCACTAAATAGGCATGGCTACTTGCTGATACTAACTTTGCATGCTGACAGTCAGCCTCTCCCCAAAATACTTTGGATCCTATTCATTATATTGGTTTACTGACAGTTTGAAACTTTAGTGTCTTCATCCTAAATTGATTTTTAACATGAAAAGCCTCAACTTCCCATGAAAGAATGAAAAGCTTCCTCTGCACTAGACACACACCCGAGTCTTCCAAGGACAGCAGTCAATGAGCAAAGGAAGTAAGAGGTATGCACAAGGAAACTTGCTTTCAAGTGTGAGAAAGCTACTTTTAAGACGCAATCTGCTGTCCAACCCTATTCAAACAAAAACCCAAACCTTTATTCAGCACAATAGAAACTGCTATAAGAACACTACTGAAATCCAGTTGTATTACCCTGTTTGCTAAGGCTTTTTCTTCAGTTATTATATACAGTTAATTTGGTATTTAAAACTCTGACCATAAACAAATTCAAATGTAAATTCCATCACAATAACCTAAGTGTGTTTAGTTTTCTATAAATCAATAGGAAAAAAAATCTCAAGAAGTTCCATTTAATAGAAAAATTTTTTCTCATTTATTTCAACAACTGTTCATTAGGATCATAAAGGATCCTACTTGGGTGTAGGGAAGAAGTTATTGATGGAGATGTACATAAGTTCCTTTAATGAAGCTATCATCATAATTACAGCACTAAAATGGAAGTGTAAACACTATATAAATAACTGAAGTTTTGTCTTCAAATTTACTTTTTTGAGCATTGCAAAATTTTTATATTTAAATGAGTGCTGTGTTGTCTTTCAAAGTGGACATGTGGACAGTCAACAGTGCTGCCCATTTGCACACCTCTCCATTAAAAGCCAGTTAGTGAACCAGGAGATAAAAGTCAAATTCCATTTTACTTCCAACTCATTTAGGACCCTTCCATAACGATGCTGCAGAGTTGGTCAACCAACCACTTAGCCTCGGCAAGACTTCTGGCCATTTATTAAAAATGAAATTTACTCTTTAGGAGAAAAGATTTGATATCACTAAATTCTAAATAAAATGCCAACCAAAGCCTCTCAAGAAAAGGAAATTCTTAAAGAGGCATTCCAAGGATGATTTGTACATTGGTGAAATGATCTTGTTGGATTAAGTACAGAACACCCCAAGTCATGAGTCTAAAGGGAACGGTGTTCATTTGGAAATCTAAATCCTGACACTCAAAGCAAAATGAAAGAAGAATGCTCCCACACTGCACATCAATTATACATATTTCATAGAACCAAGTCAAAAAGCGATGGTACCAAAGATCTTCTAGTAAGGGATGACTGCAGGGAAGAGGATTCAGTCAAGTAAGAGATACGCAAAGGGCAAAGGCTGACCTACCTGTCCCTGTTTCCAACACTCCCTGAAGACATTCCAGTTATTCTTATGGTTAGGATCCTGTAGACACAGCAAGCGGTTATCACACAGCCAGTAATGAGGAGTATCAAATCCCAAAATGCTGGGCTTGATAACCAATCCCTGGGGTTTCTTAGGGATGTCACACGAAGTCTTATTTTGAACCAACGAAGCAAAGATGTCATCCAAAATTTTTGGTGTGTTCTTGAGGCCATTTTCAGTCTAAACTTACCGGAAGAAAAAAAAAAGTATTAAAAGTATGTAGCCCTCTGCCTCCAAAAAAGCCTGCTGTGTAGTAAGTCAAGTGCATACTGACCAGCATGGACATTAAGATCAAAAGCTAGAGGGCGAGATTAGGAAAGGGTAACAAGGACCCACAGAGAGGGGAAAAAGCTGTCACAGGAGAAGACAGATCCCACCCTGAGGCCACTGGTCAGATAACTACAGTTATCTCTTCCACATTACAACTTTCCCTGTTGCAGTTCTGATATGTCGAGGGTTGGCAGAAGAAATTAAATGGGAATTCTGGGGGAGTTTTGTGGAAATTGCTGAAAACACGCAAAGGCCAGGAGATGACATAGAAAAAGTTTAGAAACTCAAGAAATGCATAAAATACATGGTTAGTATTGATGAAAAAAAAAAAAAGATGGAAACGTGTAAAGTCAGAAGACTTCTTTTCTCTGGTACAAAGGGAGGGCCAAAAAATTTTATGCAGATTTTCCAGATGAGGGCAATGTGGAAGGGATAACTATAGACTAGTCTGAAAAGACTCTCCCCACCCTTAAGTTATCACCAGTTGCACCCTTTGAAGGAATGCAGCTGGAGTGAACAATAAATCTCCTGAAGTAGTTGCATGTATTAAAATCCAGACTATTTGGGATTATGATGCAAAATGTCATAATTGATTCTAGTCCAATGGAAATGTAGCACAAATTCAAATGATGAGATCACTTTCAGAGGATTCATTATGGGCACTGCTCAGGACCTAGCAGGAGAAGCTTTAAGAAGCAGCCGATGACCATCATTACATGCTCTTCAAGTTTACTTCTTGTTCCCGATATGACTAAAACTTGGGCATACCTTCCCTCCAGAAGAGTTCAGCAGATTCCGGAGAAAACCAGAGCTGTTGTTGCTTACAGGGGTTAATATTGTGCTGTTAAAGGTGTGCAGAACAGTAGGAAGTTTAGTCAAGGTGGGTAGAGACTGGAGAGATTTGTTTTCATTTTTTAAAGTTGGCATTGTGAGTGGTTTCTCTAAAAGCAAAGAGAAAACCTAAATTAGAATAATAATAGAATTTGTAATGTAAAGCCTTAAGAGACGGAAATAAAAAGTGTGAAGAGTATACTCAAAAACCCTATCCAAAACAAATACATTTTAAAAACCAAAACCAAAAATCCTCCCACACACTTCTGAAACTTTCTGTGTCTCAAGCATAGGAAAAACCAAAACGGCAGAATTAAGAGTTCTGATTCTCACCAAGTGCACCTTAGTATTTTTTTCCCTCTTCAAAAGATAATTCTATTGGGCAGGCACTATGAATTCATGGTCCAATTGCTCGTGGCCTTTCTGTTTTGTAAGGCTCGGAAAAAAGCAGAAGAGCTAAGGATGAGGGTGAGGTTCTAACTCCATGCCTAATCCCCTTACGGTGATGCACGGAGACTTCACTGTTCACTTTCCACAGTGAGCTGAAGTGTGTGTAGAAAAGTCCAGCCTCTGTTATGGAGCAGCTACACCTGTGCTCCCAAATCAGAGCTGTAACACTTTAAGGCCCCTCAGAGAATAGTTTAAAGAGCTGAAGGGCTAGAGTTATTCCAGATTAAACAAAGGAAGATTGTGTGGGGGAACAAAGTTAACTGTAACACGTTAAATTATGTTTTAAATGGGGAAGGAGAGAGATACTAGGGTAAAGTAAAATAACCTCAACTACTTTACTTAAGTAAAAGCTCAAGGATTTAAATCAAATTTAAAAAAAAAATACCAAGGATCATCCCACAGATTTTAGGACAACCATTCAGACTAACATAATGCTAATTACATTCAGAGTGATTTACATAAGTAAGGGTGGAAAGAACGGGAGAAAATGTCAGTCCTGCAGCCAACTTAACCACCACAGTAGTCTTCCCCATGGCCTTCCACTGGGAAGATGATTAGTCTGTGCTCTGTTCCATAGAAAACAACTACTTCCCTTGAAACAAGTGTGTTCAGCCCAGGCTCATGGCAAAAACCATCTGATGGGCACATTCAAAAGTATGAAACAAAGGCAATAGGACCTTAGTCACAAAGTACTTGGTCTCTCTGGACTTCAAAACTTATCAGCAAAATAAGGATGTTGAAGGGCAAGCCCCTCTAAGGTCTTTTCCAAGTCCTAGATGACAGGGTTCCACTCACCCTTATTTTCCTTGTTAACATTGCCACTGGTTAAGTCAGCTAGCCAGTTTAAAGGAGAAGAACTAAGTGGACAGACAGGCTTGGTGCCACAGCTTGGCTTGGTAGCAGGGTCACAGCTGCCATTTGCTGGGTCTAACACACAGTTATTTCGCTGGAGGGCTGTTCCTAGGCTCAGCTTTTCTCCAGCTAAAGAATTCTGTTGAGAAAAAATATAAAAAGCAGTTGAAAATAAGGTCTCCCCACCTCCTTAAACTAATCCAACAAGCTACCCTACAGTGCTGGCTAATGCGAGAAAAGTGAGCAAACCGATAGAGCATTAACATTATAAGCAGAAAGTAGTGAGAAATTAATTTCAGCTTCCAAGAAAATGTCAATACAGGTGGAAAAAACAGGACTTCAAACCAAATCTTTAATTTAATCAAATAGTGCTATAAATTCCATTCCCCTTAAAAATGCTTCCCTAACCCCACCACCCACACGATTTACATTTTAAAGCACTGTTTCTACAGCAAACACTTGGCAATTTAGAGACAAAATAAAGCCAGGTGGGTGAGGAAAAACTAAGGATAGAGGGAAAGAAGGTGAGAAAGGAAACCTAAGCATCACAATGGTAGACCTGAAAGGGACTTCAGGACCTCATGCCCAAACAGTGACGCCCCCAGCCTTTGCTGTACATACATCATCTGCCCGTTGGTGTAGGATGAAGTGTTATCAAGCCGAAATTGACACCAGCAATTCCCACCCATTCCTAACTCTGCCCACCCTATGGAGGTACCTCACCTGACAGGACTGAACAAGGCTGGAGAAGCCTTGGGTTCATGCATCTGACACTGAACACAGCTGGGAAACTATGAACAAGTGGCAGCCTCCCTGGGCTTCTGTCTCCCCAGCTGCAGCACCTGCCTCAAGGTGCATTTGAAAGCACTTTTCAAATGTGACAGTGCTACATGGGCTTTATTAGGAAGAAGCTCAGGCTAAACATTATAATACAGGCGAGCACCCTTGACCACACCAGATGCCTTCTCTGAACACTCTCCAGTCCTTCTTAAAATGTAGGCCTAGAACTGACCACCATCTTGCTGATGTGGTCTCACCACAACAGAGTACAGATAGGGCTGGACTCTACACTGCTCTCAATATAAGCCAGCCTCCCTCCAGCACCTTTTTTGGCTCCCATGTCATGCTCCTGATTTCCATGAAGATTCTAGGGCACTAGAGGCTTTTGGAAAGGGTCTGCTGTTTAGCCACACCCGGCCCTCTCATACAGGTGAAGTTGATTTTTGGAGGCTAAGGCTTCATATTTGCTCTTATTAGCTTTCATCTTACTCACTTTGGCCCTATGCTCTGGTTGATCTTTTGTAGCCTGACTCTGGCTAAAATGTGTGTTAATTAGTCTTGTCTGAAAATTTAATGAAGATGCCATGCATAAAAAATGTCAACACTGAGGAAAGCATAGAGATCCCTACAGTATTAATTTATTCATTCAACACCTATTGTGTACAAGGCACAGTAATAAGTGCCGGTAATGCAAAAACACTGCACTAGAGACTACCTTCCAAATAACAATAAACCATTAGTGACTATTTTGGGGAGAAGCCCATGACCCTAACTCGTACTGGAGTGCACAGAAAAACTGACAAATAGTTGTCCAAATAACTCGGAACTATTTTGAAATCAACTAGGACTAGCAGACAGCCAGATAGTGGGAAAAACCCAAACTCTCAGGGACACCCCTTGTTCATTCCCCTTTCCCCCACCCGTCCTAGAATCCATTCAGGATGGGGGGGTGGGGGTGGAAGAGAAGCACTCCATTTCCTTCAAGGTCCAGAACCCATCTAGACTTCCCAAGGGCTCAACAGGGCCCAGATGAGGTTAGTCACCCATGATATTCCTTTGCATTACCATCTGCCCACCTCTATGCCCAAGAGAACCCCAGGACTACCATCCTACCAAGTGATATACCCAAAGGACCCTTCTGGTGCACCTCCTCCCTTTGGGTGATCACAAAGTCCAGTTCTTTCTAGCTGCCATGCAGGTAACCTTTCTGGATTATTTCCCCCAACTCATTATGAGCTCCCTTGTGGCAGAAGACATTCTGCTTTCTGTATGCCTGGTGTTCAGCAAAGTACTCACCAAGAGCTTAATAAATGCCTTTTCATTTATTCACACACTACTGGCTTACTTTATTACTTCAAGGACAACTGCTGTCTCCAAAGCGAGGCAGTACATTTAAGAAAAACTAATTTTTTGGCTTGAAAAGCTGTTTCCCTCCTAGGCCCTGTGTATGTAACAATTTTTTACATGAAACATCATGACCCTCCTTTTCCCTGTGTTCCCTTCACAACACCTCTGGGAGCAAAACAAGCAGGTGGAGGGGAGGCCCTGGGGCGGCAGCCATACCTGTCTTGTGTCCTCCTTCGGGGCTGGCTTGGTAAGGAGTTTGATTTGCCGATTGGAACAAGGACAGTTTGCCTTTATTCCCCATTTTGCTCTTACAGAGTGAACAATATCTCCCACATCATACAGAGCTAGGTAGAAAGTCAGACAAGATGATAAGCAATGACATCCTAGGAGTTTTCATTGCACACAGAAGCTGGCATTTCTCTCTTCAGTGCATCTTTCCTCCAAGTACGTGTATGTGTCTTACCCATACACCCAACACTGTTAAGATGCCCCCAAACACGTCTGACCTAGAGTCAAACTGTTTCAGAGACACGACTAACTCATTTATTCTACTGGAGTCAAGTCCATAAAGCTCTCTACAGATTTTATCTTTAAAAACCAAACCAAACCACTCCAGTCAATCACTACCCACTACCTCAGTACCTTTCCCGGGAATGATCTGGGTGGGCATGAGGTTTTCTGGTTCGTGGATCTGACTCTTCACACACTTGAGCCAGGAGAACGTCTTGTATGTACCACCTGCAAGCAATCAACTCTTAGTAAGAGATCTGAATCTGTGGTTATCCGCCACCATTTCAAAACCTCTCCTCAAGTAACAGTGAATGTTCTCAGAAAATAATGAAGGCAGAAATGAAAAATTATGAGACTCTAAAGTTTGAACGGGAAACTAGGAATGAAAAAAAAAAAAACCTTACCTTGCTGGACATTTTTTTTCTTCATCCTGAAGCAGTCCACACACACCCCAAAGCCACAGCGAGGGCATACCCAGTGCAAGTTAAAGATTGTAGTGTCACACACATCACACATCTCTCGAACGCCTCGAACAGCACGCTTCCAAGCAACTTGTCCTGATGGGGGCAAAAAAAACAAACCCCACCTTCTTTAGGTTCAGAAGCTGGGACAGGGAGACCACCAAACAGAAAGCTAGAGTTTTGTTTTCTGTTTTCAGAGTGGACACTGACTTCTTAGAATATCTATGAAAACTGTCAAATTTGATAGCAACAGTAATTTTCTCATTTAGGTTAAACTGGAACACTTAATGCCCTTCTACCACTACTTCAGGCTGGTGATTTCATCAAAATTCAAAATACCTTGTTTTCCTCTAAGCTCCCAAATTGGCTGAGTATAGGTAAAAGAATATTAGAATTAAGATAACAAATGGGGGGTGGGGAACTATGGCAGAAGGGAAGTGGACTACCTATCTTTTAATGAAGTCTCAGTTCCTTTTATTCGTGGAAAAACTCAAGAAATTTCCAAATTCCCCTAAAACAAGCCAATGAATGAATGAATGTGTGAATAAATAAATAACAGATGTAGAAAAGTGCCTCGTTGGAATGTGAGTGACCCTTAGCCATCACCTAGTATCAACCCTTTTATTGTAATCCAGTTTTCTTTATATTGTTATATGTCATGAGGTTGACACCTGGATTTACAGCTAGAAGAAACCCTAGGGAGGTCATCAAATCCAATTCTCTCACAAACTAAGGGGCAGAAAGGTCAAGGGACTAGCTTAGGGTCACATAGTCTTAATTGTCTGAGGCAGGACTTGAACGCAGGTCATTCCTGACTGCAAGTACAGTGTGCTGAGAGCAAGGATTACTCTCCCTTATCATCTGCTCGATCCAGGCCTCCAAATCAATCAAGTGCCTAGCACAGTGACTAGCACCTCACCTAGGAGAGGCTTTGTCAGTGCTGGCTGAAATTCAGGATTTCAACTCTATGACACCAATCTGTGGGTCGGGTGCGTGTGCGTGTGTGTTATAAGTTAAAGTTCAGTGATCCAATCATCTGAATTTCTGCACTGTCAATGCTACTGACTCAATAAACAAGAGCAGGGTTATCTTCCAAAGTCTGGTGACCAATCTGAATCCCTACTAAAAAACCCAAGGTAAATGTATGTAGCTAGAGGACAGCCAGAGGAGACAAGGATGTCCTTCATCTCAGTTCAGTCCCCTGACAAATACTGAAGCAGGAGGTTTTGAGCTCTTCCTTCGGGACCCACACCAGACTCAAATGTCACTGGGAAATGTTTAACAAAATAAACAAAAACATAACACAACATAAGAGTGTTCATTTGTGGTTTTCTAAGTCAATGCACAGGGATCTGTTTCCATTTGAGGCTGACTCCACCACCCCAGTCTTCTTCGTCTTCATTTTCAGGGCTCTTGGAAGGCAGCCAGTTGGCCACACTGGTGCTTGGTACTGGCCTTGTTATAGATTTCTTTAAATTTCCAGTTGAGACTAAAGAAAAATTTCTTAATATAAGGAGGAACATAAAGGACACCTAGAAATGTTCATTCAGATAAGTAATGTAACTACCTGGCATAAAGCAGGTCTCTACATTTATCAAGAGATTTACATCAATGAGAACATTTCATGGCACAGCAGGCACATTGAAGATGTAAGGAAAAAAAAGTAAACAAGCAGGCTGCTAAAAAAACTCAATAGATTTCACGACATGATATCGTTCTCTGAAGTTACAATGTTCCCCGCAGTTTCATACTGAATCTTACATTCACAATATTGGTCCCTTAACTCTAAGCTGAGCTCCAATTTACACTTACAAGGTACCTTGGGTGGGTATCCTGTCTGCATGTTGTTTTACTCTGTGAGCACCTCGAGGGCAAAGGCTGTTTTTGCCCTTCTTTGTATCCACAGTGCTTAGGACTGTGCCTGGCACACAGCAGGCACTTAATAAAGGCTCATTGAACAGACAAAATAAATTAGGTGCTAAACACCAAGTGACTCCCATTCATGCCGCTTAAGACCTCAGGGAGGATACAATCCAAAACAGATATGAACCCCTCTACCAAGGCAAATTATTGACCATCTATTCATCCCTGAAAATCTCCAGCATCAGGCAGTGAAAAATCCCATGGTTTGCTAGAGGCCCTGGGTTCAAATTCTGGGCAAGTGATTTAACAACTAGAGAACTCGGAATGCTGACCACCTGGCTCCATCCTTGGCAGCCCACCCATCCCTCAGTCACCCAACCTCTCTGCCAGTCACTATCTTCCCCTCTGCTCCAAGCTCTGCCCTCCAACCCAAGCCTTCTCTACTTCAGGCTGAGGACTCCAGCAGCTCCTCTGTGGGAGCCACATATGGCACGGCTCACAACGTGGATACCGAGCACCCCCACGCCAAGGGCCGTGATGGTGATGGAAGTATGGACATGAGAACAGCCCCTTCCCTTAAGGAGATGCTCTTCTCTGGGTATGCCTCCACCTGTCAACATCCTTCCTAAAAGGCAGCACCCAGGGCTAGACACAGGATTCCTGATGTATCTGACAGGGACAGAGGATAGCGACTACCTCATTCTAATCGATGTTCTATCATTTCAGTCCCGTCTAACTCCCCGTTGAACTTTTTGCGGTTTTCTCGGCAAAGATACTGGAGTGTTTTGCCATTTCCTTCTCCAGGTCATCTGACGGATAAGGAAACTGTGGCAAACAGGGTTAATTTACTTGCCTAGGTTTGCACAGCTAATCAGTGTCTGAACTCAGGTCCTCCTGACTCCAGGGCGACCATTCTAATCAACAGACCTCAAACAAAGCCAAACATTAAGTGGGTTTTAATTGACTTATCATGCCATACTAGTCAGTCATTTATTAAGCACCTACTACATGCTAAATCTGGGGTCACAGAGCTGAACATGACTAAAACGACTCAATAATAACAAATGTGTGAGACGTGTGTGCGTGCACGCTGTGTGCATAGACATTTACATTTATCTCTTCCTTTAAAAACCCAGATACACAATTTTGGATTTGCCCAATCTCTCTAAGCCTGTCAAGATCTTGGTAGATACTAGTACTTGCTGTGTTGGGGGCAGCTAGGTGGTGAAGTGGGTAGCGTGCCATGCCTGGAGTCAAGACCCCTCTGTTACTTCAAAACCACTCTCAGACATTTACTAGCTGTGTGACCCTGGGCAAGTCACTTACCCCATTCTTTCTGTCCAATTTTGGTCTACTAATTTAATAAAAGCAAGCTATCCAAGGCTGCTTCCTTCGGGTTCTCCACATCACAGAGCTCGTTTCACTGCTATTTCTACTCTTTTGTTGGGTTTTCTGATGAGTTCACAATCTCCCTAATCGTCTCATGTGGCTCTAGAGCCAGCCTTCCTGTTTGTCTGACATCACTACTCCCCTTCACAAAAGCCATGCGGATCAAAAACAGCAAAGTAAAAAAAAAAAAACAAAAACAATTAAAAAAAACTTTCCCTTGAAATCTGAATCTGAGGGTTTCTCCCCCAGCCTGAATCTCTGTGCAACCAGAAAAACCAGACATTGGCTATCCTAAATTAAAAATGTTCTCCCTGTTACTTTTGTTGCATTTATTCCTCAGAAGAGGAATAAAATCAGCTCCTTATATTGGTATAAAGCTGTACGCTTTATAAAACACACTCACATATAGGATTCACCTGATCTTCACAATAAACCCAAAAGAGATGAGTAGGGTGCATAGTTGTACCTTTATTCCCATTTCAGAGACAACAAACCAAAGGTTAGAGGACGAGGCTTTGCCCAAATTCATAAAGCTCTTAGAATGCAGAGATGGGATTCTTATCCAGATTTCTAACCATGTCTAGCCCTCTGTTCTGAACTACTGTCCTTGGCTGATACCTAACAAAGCAATTACATGCAGCTGACTGGTATTAAGGCACTGGAAACTGACAGTCCAAACTGACTTGTAAAAGGAAGAAGCAACACAAAATGAAAAAAAAACATTCATTTTCTTCTTACAAACTCTGATAAATGGTAATTAAAAAGTAAATAATGAAATGAGGGGTCAAGACATCTCCAAATGCCCCACTCCCTAAAAGATGCTCTTACTGTGTGGTTCAATGGTTGACATTGCCTCCTTTTCAGATATCACCATTTGACAGAAGTGGTCTCCAATGTTGGCGAGGATATATTTTGCAGTATCCAAATCAGTACCCACCACATTTTTGGCCAAAGGCAACCACAAGCCAATGGCTTCCATATCATACTTGTTTGGGGTCAAGAAGCCTTCTACCCGCAACACACCATGTTTATTAAATTGTAACCTATGAGGAAAAACAATAAAATGAGCAAGTTCACAGCCTTTTATGATTATTTAAGCACAGGATCAAATACCTGAAAGCAGTACTATCAAAGGTGTTCACCATCTCGGTCCAAATTTCTGCCTTCTTTCTTTACAACAATTCCAATCTCTTGGTGTTTCCTAACTAACTTTCAACAGTTACAGTTTACAGTTTCCTGGTAATTTAAATTGAAAGGGATAAAAAACAGATACTGACTGAGCATTTTTACAAAAATAATAATGGCTTCTATACAACTGGTTTACTTCATGATCTTTTATATTTTATTTTATGTACCTTAAACCATTATTCTAAGGAGTTCACATAAAATCAAATGACATAATCATACAGCTTTTTAGGGAAAGTTGTTAGATTCTCTGATCAGATTTCAAGTAGGATGCTAGCAAAGAATTAAAATTATCACAGAAGAAAGTGGAAAATAAACAAAAGGAGACATGCAGATCACGTTGGGACAGAGCTGGCAGCCCATTACATTAACAGTGAAAAAGTCTACTCCAGGGGTAGTCACCTCTGCTCTTTAGAACTCTTGAAGGAAGCATAAAAGAAAACAGTTCCCATTACAAAAGGTTCTGATGTACTTTGTTCAACATCTATTCAATTAGCAGGTAATTATATCCAATGTAATAAGCAATGAGAATGTAAAAGGGTCACGATGCTTCACTACCCATAGGAAATCTGTTCATGTTGGTAAGATGCTTGTTCATGTTGGTAAGATGCTTTGTAGCACCGTGAATGCTGGGGGAAGAGTGTTTTTCCCCCCCATTTACCCTGTAGGCCAGAGGTGTCCAAAAGACAGTCCATGTGGCCCACAACACTCCCAAACTAGATTAAAATGTAAGTGAGAAATATTTTTAAAAATCGATAAAAATACAACAAAACATAGATAACATTTTATTTTAAAACTAAGTCAAACAGCAACATGCAGAGAGCCTTCTGTATAGGCTAGTGGCCCCTGTTTCTATTTGAGTTTGACCGCCCTGCCGTAGGCAATGGCAAACCACTGCAGGTTTGCGAACAGGAATAACACCCACAAAAAAGTAAGTCCTTTCAAAGGTTATATCTGGCAGCTATTTTCAGGAAACAGTGGAAGTGAGGACTGGGAGAAGGGAAAACAGAGAGACGAGTCACTCGATTAGGTTGTGGACCAGTCTATTTTCAGCTCAATTCAACATTTACTAAGTGCCCAAGGAAAATGATCAGTCCCTGTCCTCTGGGAGCTTACCTTCTACCGGGGGCCAACAACACATATGGACAGAGAGAAGTAAAGTGAAATGAGAGCAGGAGACAATTTTAGGGAGGAGGAAGGGGAGAAGGCATGCTCCAGCACTGAGACCCCTGGGCCTGCAGAAAAGTAGCAGACAGAGGAATGGCCTTGGGCAAAATCTCACGAGCAGGCACTACAGGTCGTGAGCAATGCTGAGTTATCAAGGTTATGCTTCGTGAGCCTCTCAAATGCAGAGGTTCCATTCTGGATGTGCTCAATTTCAGGGGCCCGAGAGACACTAAGCAAGAGCTGGATATGACAGACAGTAAACAATGTGTCACCTGAAGAGAAATGATCCTCAAACCCACGGGAGATAACATAAGCCAAGTGAGACAGATGATGGTTCCCAACCAAGGAGGGAATTCAGAGGAGGAGAACTGAAGGGGAGACAAGAGCTCAGCAACAGCCAAGTGACAAGGTCAGGGAAGCTTAAGAGTCAAAGATGGTGTTAACCTCAGAAGCATCTCAGTCAAGTGCTGGGGGTAGAAATCACAAGTGGGTGGTAAGGAAGAAGCAGAGAGGACTCTGAGGGGACTGCCAGGCCACATGAGAGGTCTGTTTCATTTTTAAGGATGGAGGTACCTAAGCACCTTTACAGGCAGCAGAGAAAGAGAGATGATCCACAGGGAAAGGTCCTTAAGGGGCTGGATGGAGGGGTTGGCTTTGACTAGGTGGAGGCTCGAATTTTCCTTTGTTTTCTCAGAAAAGTGAGATGGATACAGTGTTGGAAGGTTTGAGGAGAAAACAAGTTAAAATAACAAATGAATGAATGTGAAAGACATCACGCAGAAATGAATCACTAAAGTGGAGCCATGTTTCTAAGAGGATAGGTAGAAGAGGAGCAATGAGTTGAATCTGGATAGTGGACCACTGAAAGTAAACAGATAAGACAGGCACCAGGTCTGACTGGGTAGGAGAAAAGGCAACAGCCTCGGACCTAGATGTGCTGAATCTGTGAGGGCAACGAGGGCAAAGAAGGCAATGTTCAGCAAGCAGAGACACAGAAGATGACAGCTGGGCGAGGATGGACATCTGAGGGAATACAGAGAAAAGCTGAAGAAAAACCCATCACAGAAAGGTAAGAGAAATAAGAGGCTGACCAGACAGAGCAGAGTGAAGCTAAGATTCTTCTGATGCTAGGTGTCTCTAAGCAGAGAGGAAAGAAGCTGATAATAGAACAGATTATTAATGCTGCTAGAGGAAGGAGGTATAAATTAACAGGACAAGACCCCAGAGGAAGTGAGAAATCAAGAAAACAGGTAGAAGATTTGGTCTTCAAAAGTAAGAGGAATTATCAATACTTTATGAGTGGAGGGAAAAGAATGGCTAATAAGAGATATTTTGATATGAAAAGCAAACAAGAAAGCTCAAGATAGCAGACACAATCACTATGACTAGCCAAAATAGTTATTTTGGAAAAAAAATGCACCATGATCCTTTGGTAAATGACACTGCTATTAAAAAGGTAATCGACTGTATTATTTCCTCCTAGAAGAGGAAGGTCCTTACATTCACCTGTTAGTATTACATGATAAAATTTCCAGGTGGTATTATAGTTAGCAATGATCAAAAATTACCACACAGATTCTCAGAAAGGAAAATCGTAACGCATCTTCATCCAAGTTTGTTATCCCAGGAAACTAGAATAATTTTTCAGCTAAACCCTCTACAACGCCACTTTTTCCACAGATGCAAATCACTGTGTGCTTTGATGATGGAAAAATGAGTAAAAAGAATTCTGCTTCTCAAGTACACTGAGATAAAGGATTGTCATATATACACAGAATACACACACACACACACACACACTCTCTCACACACAGAATATATACATAGAAACCACAGGAGTTTAGAGATGGAAGTGTCCTTAGAAAATTTGTCAATAATAAACAAGGTAGCCTTTTTTCTACACTCGAGAGTAGCTTAAAATTTAATTTAAAGACGAAAAAGAATATGGAGCCATATATTAAATTCCCCAGACAAAAACTGAATTTACAATCTGTTTTTTGTTTTAATTTCTAGAACTGTATCTTCCATGGATGAAAAGGAACAGAGAATCAAGTCTTTGTACCACAGAGACCAAAGTGCTCTGCCCACTTCCCAGAAGGGCTCACCTCCTGAAGTGAAAGAATCTGCAAAAGACGGGCGAGTCCTTGTCCTTGCGGTAGCTATCCAAACGGCACTCGCGGCACTTAGACAGATTCGCAGTAATAGCTGCACAGGCACCATCCTGTACAAAGGCTTCACCACTTTGCTGCAATTTCTTGACCTTGGCTGGGTCCATTAACACTGATTTCCTAGCAGTGACTGTGAAAACAAAAGCAAAGGATGAAGACCATGATTGACATACTCAGTTAAGCAAGGTCTTGAGACAGATGGCTCTGTGCATCAGCCAACTCCTCACAACAAAGTTTCAGATGTCGTGCAGCAATCCAGCTTTAAAAATCTTTTTAATGATCCTCGGGAGCCTAATGATTGAAATGATATTGCTGCCTCTTTCTGATTTCCCCAGTGTTCATTTATGGAGACAAACCCATCAGTCACCACTCTATCCAACACTATCTGAAAATCAATGCTGCTGATACATCACACTAGAAGACACAGCTCAAGACAGGGTGTCTCAGGGTGACATCTCTAGGACAAAAATGGCCTGTCAGAAGATCAGGTGTCACAGTGGGACACAGGCTCTGCCTCTTATCACTGGGGCAATCTGAAGGCGAGTCACTTTCCCCTCCAACCTTAGTTTCTTCATCTGTTAAATGAGGGAGCTGGAGGTTCTCATCAGCTACAAATGACATAATCCTATGAGTAAATCTATTTGTAAACTACAGACCAAACTCCAAAAAATCGAATTAAGAACCTATACTTTCTAAAGCACTTTCCAAATACCACATTACTCCAATAGGAACTAAGCTGTATTAGAACAATCGTATAGGGGCAGCTAGGTGGCGCAGTGGATAGAGCACCAGCCCTGAAGTCAGGAGGACCTGAGTTCAAATCCAGCTTCAGACCAAACACTTGACATGTACTAGCTGTGTGACCATGGGCAAGTCACTTAACCCCAAATGCCTTACCCCCTCCCCAAAAAAAGAACAATTGTATAGACCAGTTGTGTTAGAAGACCACATTCATTCTACAGATGTCTCCCCCATACATAAATAATTAGTCTAAATGCCTCAATGCAATGTCACTGTTGCTTGAAACTCAAAAGCACTTTTTTTTAACTTCTCTCCAGATTCTTGTCTCTCCTCCTTCACACAGCGTGTACTACAGGTGTTTGCATCTGATTCCATGTAAATACATGCTATTTAAGTGTTTAATGGGTTTCCTCTGAAGAAAGACAATAGATTCAAACTGAGAAGAAAGGATGATTTGAGATTTTTTTTTTTGAAAGGACATAAAGAAAAAGGGAGAAAAAACCAGAATAGTTCAGGCCAAATATAGGAAAAAGTCTATTTAGAAATGAAGAAACTAGAAAGCTTACAACCCGGTTTAGTTCTATTTTTGACTGAGGACCCAGAAAGCATGACCCCTTTGTCTTGAGTTCCAAAGGGCAAGACCTGGAAACCACAAAGGAAAGGACCTTGTCTCTAGGAACTCTATCCAGAGACAGGGTAGATTAACTGGGCAAACTAACAAGATAACACAGACTCGAGGAACAGGAAGCAAGAGAAACTAGGCTGGGCAAGTGACTTCCTCCTCTGGGTGTCTGCTTCTTTACGATGAGAGGAGGGAGGAAGAAGGGAGTCCCTCTCACAGAAATAGTGAGAGGGACTCTGACAGCGCGATCTCTGCCACTTTCACTAACTTCTCTTTTGGGCCTACAATTCTGTTAATAGTTAATAGTTTGCACCCCCAAAAGTTTTCACTCTGAAATTGTGCATTTTCACTTAGAAAGAACCTGGCCTAGAGGTAAAGCCTCAAAATGAAAACCCGCTTCTATAAGATAGGCAGGAGTCTAGAAACACAACAGTGTTGTTCAGAACAAGTTGAACCAATGAAAATTTTGCGAAGTCATGCTGAGCAGCACTGGGGCTTAGGGTTCCACACAGTCAAGAGAGAATTCAGTAGATACTCTAAAGAAAGTGGAAAGTTTAGGAAAATGAAATGTCCATGCCATCTTGAGTTTCAAAGCCCAGGCAGTTGGAGAGGGCAGAAGGCAAACATTTGTTTTCTTTTAACTTTATTTTATGTCACTTTTAACTTTATTTTATTTGTATTTATTTTCAGTTTTCAACGTTCACTTCTATAAGATTCTAAATTTTCTCCCCTTCCCTCCTCTGAAACACTTTTCTTCCATCTATTTCTGAATGCTCAGTTCCCTTTGCAGCCTCTGCGATTCCTGGCTTCTCATATACTGCTTTTATGAAAAAATAGGGCTGCCTTAAGAGAGAACTTTTACTCTGACAGTACAGATGTATTGTTTTCTCTTAATCTATAGTGGTTTAAGGCAAGTTAAACTTAATATTAAGATTCTTATTCTGAATTTCTAGAAAGATGAAAAACCCCAGGTCAGGGAAGCTAGGTGGTACAGTGGATACAACACCAGCCCTGGAGTCAGGAGGACCCGAGTTCAAATTTGACCTCAGACACATAACACTTACTAGCTGTGTGACTGACTCTGGGCAAGTCACTTAATCCCAACTGCCTCACAAAAAAACAAAACAAAATAAAAAAACCCAGGTCAAAAAAGAAGTCAAGAGTACACTGCTCTGCAAAATTAAGCAAACAGATCAAAAAATTTCCTGGAAATGTAAACAAAAACAAACTTGAGAAAAATTCTAATACTTCATGGACAAATGCACATTTGCAGCAATAACGTAATGTCTTAAAAGATATGGTCAACTAGATAAGAATTAAATGAATACCTGAACACAACCTTCAGGAAGATTTAAAACAAGTGAAATCAAGATAGCTGCAAAGAGCAGACTCCAATGAAATCCAAAAGGAAGGACAAGTTTAGAAATTTACTGAACTGGAAAAAAGCCTTCCAGCAACAGACTTACAGCTAAAAGACAGAATCTTAGAATTACCAGTGTCTCAGAACACAGAGAAATGGCAAACAATCTATTCATTCCAAAAAATTAAGAAAACTTCCCAGACTCATCTAGAATATACTGCAAACAGAAAAGGCCACAGAACATCAAGTAAGAAATTTACAATTCAACTATCCTGGCATAGCATATAAGCCCTACAGTGCTATGTCAGCTGTGATCACACTTTAAAACTATAGTGATAAAGAAAAAAAAAAATCCTTTAAGTCACCAGAAAGCAATTCTACACTACAGCAGAAAAAGGACAAGAAGATGAAATATATATAAAACATGATTAATGACCGATTCCAAGTTGGCCCCCTGAAAAACTATGCATTCAGATCTATACTTAAAAGTCATTCACCTTAAAATCCATCCCAAGAAATAAGAACTTACAACTCTTTAATATCTGTTACCATAAGCACTGAGATCCAAGTCCCTAGAGATTAGAAATAAGCCAAGAATGTGACTGATTAAAACTACAAAATATCAGATGGGATGGGGGGAGGAAAGATAAACCAAGAGACAAAAGACAACAAGAAAATAACAATTTCAAAGGCCAGATTTTAAAAAATAAAACAAAGAAAGGGTGGTAAGAAGGTGGCAAAAACAGGCCAGTCAACTGGTTATGGGAGAGAAAGGAGTGAGGAAAAGTGCCAAAAACTTAAAATACAATAGTATGAAGTATAAGAATTGGGTTTACTTTAAAGTTGTTACTTTTTTAAATAAAAGACATGTACATTCCCTTTCAAGAAAATAATGGTAGACACTGAATCCTACCAATTGTAACACTGAATGTGAAGTGAATTCAATCACAGGAAAAAACAGTGAGGAGACTGATTAAAACAGAACACAACTGTTTGCTGGCAGCAGGAAGCAAGTTAAGACAAAAAGCTTTAAAAATATTTCAATTGAAAAACTGGTCTGCAGCCTCAGGGATGGCAATAGAAATCTGAGTCTCATGAATTCAAATCAGAATACATTAATAGCTCAAGCATATTATGATGAAATAATAAAAATGAAAAGTTCTATTTTAAGTTTCTACCTACTAAATAAGAGAAAAATTTACAATTTTGCAAGTTACAAGACTTAAAATTGATTAACAAGCTAGACTTAGAGACCTACAGAAAACTTAAAGGATTATTTATTCTTTTCAAGTATACAGAATATTAAAAAAATCTTAGGTAAAATTTAAATTTACATACGATGTTGTCAGCCCACCATACTTTAAAATCAAGAAGAGGCATATGGAATAGAAAAACATGACTAAACGTCTGAATTACACAAAGTAGAAAAAAGAAGACAATTACAATGAATATTACAAATCAAGATCAAGATAAGATATTCTTAGTCCTTTTCAGAAATAAATTCTAAGCAGGGAATGCCCATATTCTAAGGTAAAGTGAATCAACTTAATCTGCATTTAAACTAGGAAAGGAAAAAAATAACCCTTTCTCTCTGAGGAAGCAGAAAAGGGAGTGAGCACTAATTATAAGGAAAGATAAAATTAACAGGATGGAAAACAAAAGAACTGAAATAATTACAAGTTAAGAGTTACTTTTAAGAGACCAATTAAAACTGAAACCATTAGCAAAAGTAATTTTTCAAAGAGAACTCATATGTATATAAACCAGAAAAGAGAAAAGGGAGATTGTACTGCACACAACAAAAAGGAAAAGGGGATTATGCCGCACAATTTAAAGCTCGAAAAAAACAGGAAACAGCTAACAAATAAAGAAGCTCAGAAGGAGAGCTCAGTCATTAATGATCTCCCCCACTCCACACACCAGTACCAGAAGGACTCAAGATAGCGAAACATAGAAGGTTATAGAGTATGGTATGAGTTTCAAACTGTAGAATTAAAACCTGAAAAATTATAGACCAACCTTCTTAACATATATATGGATACAAAAATTCCAAATTAGCAAATAAATACAACTAAAAGGTACTCAGTATGGCTCCACTGGCTATGTCCCGGAAATGAAAGGACAACTGAAGAGAAGAATTTATCATTACAATTTCAGTTGATGCAGCAGAGAAGACCTCAGAAACCAACAAACAAAAATGTGCACTCATGATTCTCCAAAAAATACTAAAAACTGGAATGGAAGGATTTTTCATAAAGCTAATTTCAAAATGGTTTTGAAGATCAACTTTACAAGTGGGATTTTTTTTCCCCATGCACATGACTAAAGTGGGTGGTCCAACCATTTCCCCAATATATAGTTAGCTCACTCCTAAGACCAATCCTCAGAAAACTCTACTCCTCTGAAGTCCACTCAGTTCAAACTGTAGTTGGCCCACATCATTCTCCCCTTTTGGTCAAGGAGATCAGCACCAGACTCCCCACTGTCCTCTTTTCCCTATGCCCATCCTTGTACTAGGGGACTAGAACATTTGACGCTCTCACCTCCAATCCTGCCACCTCCTTAGACCCAATGACTACCCTTCACTCCACCCCAGCCCCATCTAGGGACAGTTACACACCACATTTCACCATTACTCCTAAGTGTTCTCCCTCCTTCCCGATTACAAATTCTCCATTCCCATATCTGAACACAACCTATCACTCTACCTCTCTCTCTCTCTCTGCCTCAGCCCTCCTAATCCCCAATCCCTCCACCCAACAGGACTGCCCCGTCTACAACTGCCAACTTCAACTCCACAGCTTGCCATTAACTCTACACTGCCCCGTTGTCCTACTGCTGCTCATTGCTTGCCAACACCTCAGCCCTCAAGTCACTCCCACCATCCATGTTACCCAATTTCCACTGGGCCCTCACTGCTGCAAGGCAGTCTCCCAATTCCTCCCACTTCCCACAGAAGCCATTTCACACTTTCTTCCCTCTTCAACTCTCTTATTTGCCTCCCTCTCTCCTCTTTCTCAGAGGGGGGTCTCTGAAGCAATTCCACAAGATTCCTCTTCTCCCATTCCCCCCATCTCCAATCTCTGGCATCACCTCCTACTCAACTCCTCCCCCCTCTTTCTGTCAATGCCAAATCACTCATCCCAACTCATTCAGTTTAACAGACTGCAGTCTCAACCACACCCCCTTCCCCGGATTCAAATCTTCCACCTCTCCCTATCCACTGGTTCCTTGCCTACTGCCTCCAAAGATGATCAAGTCTCCCCATCCACAAAAACCTTTCATCAGACCTGACACCAGCCCCTCAAGGGCCTTTGAGATCACCTGCTTTTCTAGTCTTCTTCCAACTTACTCCCCTCTGCAATCCAGTAAGTAAGTAATCCCAGTCTCTCCTTGCTGCCCCCCTCTCTGCATTATGACTGTCTCTCCTCCCCCTGACCTCCATGCCTGAAGTCTCTTCCCTCCTCATCTCCGCCTCCTGGCTTCCTTTAAGGCTCAGCTGAAGCCCCACCTTTCCTGGTTCCCCTCAATGGAAATGCCTTTTCCCTCCATTTATCTTGCCTATCCCTGTTTGTACACAGGAGTTTGTCTCCTCCCATTACACTGTGAGCTCCTTGAGGGCAGGGATGATTTTTCCCTTTGTATCCTCAGTGCCTGGCACATCGTAGATGCTTCATAAATGCTTGTGTGTATGTGCCTTCGCTACTCTCCTCCACCCCTAGCTCTGTGCCTTCCAGTTCACCATGCCACTGGAACTGCTCTGTCAAAGTGACTGGTGAGCTCTCCGTTGCCCAACCCTCCTCCACCTACAGGGCATCAGACACTGGAACTCATTGCCCTCTTCTCCTGCATTTATGACCACTAGTCTTCCACTAACCCAAACAGGCCTCCCCCACAGTGCGGGCTGGATAAGGAGAGAAACACATGAAGGGAAGACACGTGCTCCGAGTAGGAGGGCAACCCCCACGTCACAGAAGCCAAGAAGGTCAGATATGGTGAACTGGAGATGTCTCTGGGCCATTCACTTTGAAACATCCAAGGAGCAAGAGGGAAGTCTGGAGCTAGACATCTAACTCTAGGAACCATCCACATACAGATATCCATAAACAGTTTTTTAATTCAATTTGCTGTATCTTAAAACATTATGCTAAGAACAGGCCTGCAGAGTCAGTAAGGAGCCCAGGACTAAGCCTTGGGAAACAGTCGGGGGGCATGCTGTGGTTGACGAACCAGCCAAGGAGACCGGCATGGGAAGTTTTAGACAGAAGAGCTAGGAGATGATGGTCTTCTGAAAGCCCAAAGAGGAGGGAGAGTATGCAAGAGCCCACAGTATTAAGTGAAAGAGTTGGGATGTGAAGCCGGGTCCTCTGACCTCAAAAGGTACACTCTTTCTCACTACTCCAGGCTGCTCTGACTTTTGTTATTTAAGGATATTTTCCTCCTGTTATCTCACATCTCTGACCATCTCAGCATAGTGCTCAGCGCTGAATGGCATTCTGCAATACATTCAATCTTTCCCTAGATATTTTACTGGTGTTCACCGTACTCAAGGCATGAGGGTGTGAGGTAAAGAAAACACGAAAATGAACAAGATGAGTAAGACAGTCTTTAACCTAAAAGAGCTTGCAGCTCAGTGAAGGAAGGCTTACTCAGGCTAAGTTAGTTCAAGAGATCAAAAGTAAAAACGTACATGACTCACCCAACAAGTGGATAAGCACTCACCACTCTGGACTTTGCTGCCACTTCCTGTGTGCCAGCTGTCATTTTCATGTCTCACACTGGGGGCAGTCTCTCTGGAACTCCCCCAGAGGGAAGAACACAGAAAGGAAGCGTGCTCAGGATTCCTGCCCTCGGCACTATCTGGCTGGCTGCTCAGAGGTGCTTTGGCTGCAGGCTCGCTGGCCGGGGCAGCGCATACCTCCGATGTGGAAGGTTTGCAGTCCAGGTGCTTCTGCAATTCATATGTCTCTGTTGCCTCCAATGCTTCCTGGGAAGGTTCCTTCAGTTGCTGGGTGGGTGGTGGCAAGTCCTCCAAAGGAAAATCCGCAGGGGATTTGACTAAGGACTCAACCAGGGTTTTCTTGTTACTGTCATTATAACTTTGTGTACTGGGCAAAGGAAGTTGGTTCAAAGTCTTCAACTGAGTATAGTTCACTTTGGGTTCGCTCGGATTTTTTAAGTCCCCTGTTCCAGCTTGAGCTGGCTGCTGACAAAGTGCCTCCAGGTCTGTGCTCTTTTCTGGTGTCTCTGTCTTTATGTTTAGACAGGAAGAAAATCCTTCGGGTAAACTCTGTGCATGATCTCTGAAGGACATAAACACACAACAGGAACAGAGAAGGTATGAATGAAGCATAGCTCCTAAAACTTAATTCCCCAAACCAAGAACACTGTTCTTCTGAGGACTAGGGAACTGCTCTAACAGAGCCAGACATGAGCATTTCTCAAGCGCTCTTCTGGTCTTCTTTGTCTTCAGAACACTGGACCTTTTACTGCCAATTATCCTCTCTGGCCTCCTCAGTGAAAATAAGATCTTGGCACTGGGACCCATTTCTCAAATTTTTATGTTTAACCAACTTACCCTTGAGGAGATTTCGCTCCAACACTTGGTGGAGAATTAGCTGCCTGAGGAGTGCTCTGCCTGAGGTTCTTGCTAGCTGGTGTCGTCGCAGTGCATGCAGGGAGCACCTCCCTAAGGCCTGTCGTGGGAACAGACTGCACGGGAGCCGGACCGCACGATGCCTGAAAGACACCAACCACAAACAAGCCTGCTAGCATGACGAGCCCCGACTTCGGGCAAAAACACTAACCTTGGTTCAATACTAACAACCAGAAGTTGTTACAGACAGAACTGCAATATAACTGAAAGCAGTAGATGCAGTCAAAGCCTACAAAGATTGTGAACTGATGAAGTTCTATTATCTCATAGCAAGCCTCTTTCCCTGGAAGTTTTTATAATTCTATCAGATTATTATGACATTTAAATTTTCCCACAACATACATCACGATGAATTAGTTTCCCTCTGGGCAAATGGAAAAAAGCCATCATCTGCTGATTAGCTGCTATGTTATAAAAATTAGACAATAACAGAAGGCAGAGAAGTCACTGTTTAGAACAGTATCCACAAGAGTTAACGGGCACAGCCTTAAAGAACCCCCGCTCACATAAGACAGGGTAGGCTGGTAGAGACATTGGTCCTCAGAGGTCCAGAGCCAACAAGGACAGTGACAGCTGACAGTCCAAAAGTAGGACAGACTCAGCTTCACAAAAGCATTCTATATTTAGCAATGAACTCATGCACTAAGTATCCCCCAGCACCAAAGGACTTCAGAGTAGGAGAATAACCTGAACCCTAAGCCCCAGCTACATGACCTGTGGCTAAAGCATAGATTGCGCCACCTTCCATACCTATGCCTGCCTTAAATGGTCAGAAATCTTACAAACCCCAATTCCCACCACCTTTACTTAGCTCTTTACCCCCTACACACCACTCAATGTATCTTTTTTGTTACAGGATAAGCTGAAAGAAGAAATAATTGCAAGATTCTTCAGGGGGTTCATTAATTTCTAACTATAAGGTTACTTTAAGAAAAATTTAAAGTAGTAAAGAAAGTTCTGAATTTAGATCAAACATTGATATTTCATTGGTATCATCTACTCTTGTCCTAAGCATTGCTTAGAAGTATGTAAAGTTTTTGGGGCAGCTAGGTGGCACAGTGGATAGAGCACTGGCCCTGAAGTCAGGAGGACCTCAGTTCAAATGCGGCCTCAGACCAAACACTTGACAATTACTAGCTGTGTGACCCTGGGCAAGTCACTTAACCCCAACTGCCTAAAAATTAAAAAAAAAAAATTAGAAGTATGTAAAGTTTTTAAATTTTATCATAATCGAAAATATTTGTTCACATGACATTAGTAGGGAATCAAGTCCTTTTATGTCTTGGAGGCAGCCCACCTTCACCACTGCTACATGTTTTATCTCTTAGCCCTTTTCTGTTAATTACCTATTACCCTACCCTATTGAACTGGGAGCCAAAGATCCACACTGCAGTCACTAGCTAGCTGTGTGCTTCTGGAGTGAGTCACGCACCTCCTCGGGCTTCTAAGGTGCTCACCTATAGAAGGGCAGTGTTCACTGGACTGGATCTAAATTACGTCCACTCTAAGATTCAAATGATGCTACTTATTCCTAGATTAGCCACCCAACAATGATCAAGTCACTTCAAATGTTTCTTTGTTCAAGAAGGCTCACCTGTCCTAAGCATCCTAGGTGAGGACCCTCTTTCTATGCCAGAACTGGTGATGACCACTTGGATCCCTACCCAGTGGTTTGACACTGCAATTCATCTGTTCCAATCCTTTCTCTTTTTCCAAGCCTCTACCACAGCGACTACAGAACAAAACTGAGTCTCTTCTTTACAAAAGAGCTACCTATTGTCAGTGGTAATATTGAGAAACAACTGTGGACAATGTCTTCCTGAGGAATTAAAAGGGACAGACATCCACTGAGCTCAGCTGTTTCTAAGCAGAGTCAACTGACCAAGAACGGGATTCAAGGATAAGAAAAGGCAGTGAAACTGTCATCGTTCTGCTAACACGACCAGACCCGCCACAGCGATCTTCACTTCAACAGAAAACGGACTAAACTAACAGTCACATTTCTACAGGCTTATCAAGAAGGACGGGTAGCCCAATCACCGAATCCACTCATATACACTTAACAAGAAGCGAAGCACCAGTCTCTAGTTACTTAAGTTAGTTGTGCTTCACTGAACTTTTTTTTCTTGGTGGTCTTCTATATTATTCATGACAATAGTTCTGCCCTGCCAGCAGACAGAGACAATGTACATGAGGACATGATCTCACTTTAAAAAATGGGAAGCTGTTGGCCACTATTCCTCAGCAGATTCTTTCCCCACCAACCAAGCAAACTTGATCAATTTGAGCAATAGTCTAGTTTAGCAGGAGCCCTTCAGGAAAGAGCTGATGCTGGAACAATAGAAAAGGTTCTTAACACCAAAAGAAACCTCAGAATACGTAGCTTCCCACAACTTTCAATACAGTATACAAAATATGGTACTATAACTAATCATCAAACTCCATCAAATTAACCTCTGATTCCTCCTCACCTGGTCCTCTCTCAACCAAACCTGCCGCAGAGAAAATGACAGATTTTTTCCTGCATACTCACCAGACATGCACTTCTGACACCTTTAAAACTAAAAGATCTTGAGCTAAGTCACATGTCCATCATTTCCACTGTGGGACCACAAAGCCTGCTACTGACCTAAGTTAATGCTATCAGACACCTAGTTTAAGCTCCTTGTTCCACAGCAGAGGAAAATGGGGGGCAGAGGCTTGCTTTATGCTGCACAGCAAACTCATGTTGGTTTTAATTCTACATCTTGCATATCCTAGCCCCAAAAAGTGTTTTCATTCACTGATATGTCTCCAGACTCTTCACTGAATCTTAGAATCTAAGACCCAAGTCGTGCTCTCCTGATCTCCCTTTGCCAAAGACACTGAGGCCCATCTCCGACACCTTCACAGTGTCAACCTTACTGCAGCTTAACACATCAAAATAAAATGAAAATGCCACACTGGGAAGACTATCACCTTCATTCAACTTACCCTTCAATAGAACTGCTTTCCACCAACTCCTTCCCCTACGCATACACCCGAGATCAGATTACACCAATGATGCCACTGAGACTCACAAAAACTCCTAAGGATGTCAATGTCATTGCTTATGACATGATGAATTGTCTACTACTTGAAACAGACTTTCTGAGCTTGGCTTCTGGGAGACAGTTGGTTTATCTTCCTAGGAAATATTTCATTATCTCCTCAGAAGCTGGCTGTCAATGCTTCTTCCATTTCTGGCGTGATCTTCCAAGTCACACCCTCTTCTGACCCTGGTTTTCTGACCAAATAAAGATAATAGTATAGACTTTATAGGGTTGTTGTAAGCACTTTATTAGAATACAGAGAAAGCACTAATATGAAAACCCTATAATTATAGGGCACACACCTTCCCTTGTATCAACTGCTCTTAGACTGTTGGGACAGTTGACTATCTGCCTTTTGTGCCATTATCTGTGGTCAATAACTGTCCTGTTTTCTCCATCATTTCACCGAAGTTTCCCCAATAAATTAGGAATTCCTGGCTCAGTCAGCTCTCTTCCTGCCTAGGGTCCTAGATTCCTGGTGTCCTGTCTGGTTCTGAACAGCCAAATGGATCTTATTATTTTAACTATCTATACCCCACTACTGATATCAGTGTGCACCACAACCTCTAAAATGCCCCTACGTTCACAATCAGGTCCAAGGTAGGATATCACCCTGCTTCTACACCTAACCACTTCCTGGGGCCTTCCTTTAGACTCTGCCTGGACACTGCCCCCTGCCCTTCATTCAAACCCTAGCTGTTACCCAAGCAACTGTCCTAATTATATTAGTGTAGCTAGTTATGGGTCAAAGTTCCTACAGGGTGGGACTTTGTATCAAACCCAGCTAGCTAAGCACCATGAGCATTAAAGTGTTTCTGATAATGACTTTATAAGCAATTCCCCACATTATATAGCTAATATAAATATATTTGGGTAGCTTTTTTTAACCTGGCATAAGAATATTTCTTGTTTTAAAAAAAGAACAGAGTTGAAACAAAAAGCTAGTTAGTTGAACACAAAAGAGAATTTTGAGGTTAGTTTGTAACTCTGTGAAAGTGATTCTCCACTTGGATCTGACCAATGTTCTCATTATATTTCATGGCTCAAGATCACCACTGTTATTTAGAATATACTCAATAAGGGAGCCTTCAGATAAGCCCATATACTATTATGGGGCACAAGGCAAATTCGGGTCAACCACTTAATATACAGGGTATCCCTAAAGTCACAGTGTAATATTAGTTAGCAGACTTTTGAAGACAGGCATGTGTTAAATACTAGACCTCCTTTTACTGGTGCCTTCCAGCTAAAGACCTTTCCTCCTATCAGACCCCCAAAGCACAATCCCTTGATCAATCCTTGCAGAAAAGGCCTCCAAATACTGAAGATCAAGCCTACTGAGGACTGCCAGCAAAGAAAAACAAAAACAAAAAAAAAACTTTTCATAAAAAGAAATAGATACTTGTTTTATCACCACTTGCTGATATGGAAGAATTATAGCCATGATCTGTAGGTACCTGGTAGAGAAAAGAAGACAGCAAAAGAGAAGTCCTCAAACATTAACCAGCAATCAGCCTCTGCTAGCTGAACCTAGTCACTTGGCATTTTTAAAATCTCTTAGTAGAAAGAACTTCTGGATTACCTCTGAGCCGGGTCGAGGATGCTTTGACTCGAGGCCTCCTTTGCTCTCAGAAGACTTTCGTTTCACAGCACTCACTCTTTTAGCTTTTCCTGAAAAAGTCAACACTTTCTATCAGATTGCTTATTGTCTCGGGAAGGGGGGAGGGGAGAGATGGATGGAGAGAATTTGGAAACCAAAATTGTAAAAAAACAAATGTAAAAATTTTTTACATGTATTTGAGGGAAAAATTATATAAAAAAATGTTCTGTCAGTCTTTTTTTTCTAATATCGAAATGAAGGCAAAGGCATGCATGGGAAGAACCAAGCAATTAACTCTTACCACAATTCCCAAGGCTGTCGTGTACAACTTCAACATGAATCAGTGCTGGATCAACAATTTTTAGAGCTGGAATCTTTAAACAAGGAATAAAAAAAGTAGAAAGTTTAACAAAGATCTTTTATTTTGGGGAAATCTGAAAATGTTTACTCTACTAGGGCAAAAGCCAATTGTGGAGGAACTTAAAGGCCAAACGATACAAGATGGAACTCTCCCGAGGAGCCAGTAATGATTTTTAAGCTCGTAGACCACAATGACAGTATCCTTACATTGTTAGGAAACTCCTCGTTAGTGAAATCCTCAAACTGGAGTCTTAACCTCCCAAACCATGCAAGGAGTAGTAAGTGACAGGTGCCACGCTAAGCACGAGTGATACAGAGACAATAAGGAAACAAGGTCATTCTAGAAGGCCACTGATAGGAAGAGTAGTGGTCAGGGGAGGCTTTCTGCGGAAAGTGGCGTTTGGGGTGCATCTCCAAGAAAACCAGGAGAGGGGTTGCACAGGGGGAGCCAGGCATTTGAGGGCACAGCCAGTGCCAAGGCACAGAGACAACAGAGGAACAGCAAGAGAGCCACTCACTCTGAGGGAACCCCCGAGTGCAGAAAGAAGAGTGACATGAGGCTTTAAGTCATGGCTGGAGTAGTTTGCATTTGATGTTAAATCAGGATCTGCCCATGGCCCCTGCCGGAGAGGAGCGCTGCACTCCAATCTCTGCTTTAGGTTTACCACTTTGGTGGCTGGGCACATGTAAGAGGTTCTTTTTAAAAATAGGTCCAAGAGAGAGATGAGGAGGGACTAAAAGAGGCTGGTGACTCACAGCAGAGAGAAGCGTTGGCAAGGCAGAAACCAGATCTGGCAAACGAATGGATCTAGGGGCTAACTGAGAATGTGGAGTCAGGGATAATTCCTAAAGCCACCAGCAGGGCCTACCACACTAGGAGACCTCAAATGTTTAACGAAGGAAAAAAGGAATGCTAACCACTGGGAGCCTGCCTCCTACCATGAGGGTTCTGTATTTCTTTCAATGCATGGGAAGATGGCCCCTGATAAGGTTGATCCTCTCCACCCCTGGCCTCATAAGCTCCAGGAGGTCAAAGTTACCTCTTCACAGCGCACTTCGAGGGTTTTTGAGGTTGGATTGCCATTTACAACAGTTGCCGAAAACCACTGGGTAGATGGATCCAAACTATAAATTTTTACTTCTGAACCAACTAAGTTTTTGTCACCTTAAAAAGAGAAAAAGAAAAACTGAACCTTAAAGTTTGTTTATTTATTCCAGTAACATCAATTTCTCAGCATAATCTTTTCCTTGGCCTCCTCAAGGGTTGATAAGAATGTTTATGACTAGATGCTTCTAAGAATACATGTAGGCTACCAAAGGAGATTTTAAAAATATCTATAATACCTATACTTAATTAAAAGAGTAACTCCAAATAGCTTAGTTAACAAATCTCATAATTTTCCTAAGTAATAGCCAAATAATATTAAGTGAACTTCCTTCTAAATACAGACAAACCCTGGAAGTTTAGAATTTCTTAAATTACAGTACTTCAGAATATCACAATATAGCAGGGCTGATAGCATGAGCTAACAGCTTCCTAACCCATTCATTCTTTGGAAAAAACAAAGCAAAACAAAAACAAACCAGTAAAATTCTTAATCTAACAACATCTAGATTATAAGAGAAATTGCTTTTAGCTTACCAGATTACGCACTGGCCTTAAATGTAGGAAAAACGGAATGAAATACAATACAAATCCCCCCAGATGTGGGATGTATGGAATGAATAGGTATGTTTTGGTGAAAATGGTCATTGTTACATAAAATTTTTATTGAATTCCCTTTTCCCACAGACATCCTAAAGACTTGCCATATGACATCTGACCTGACTGTTTTGACGCATCTGCAACACTGAGGAATTGTTCAAATTAGCAAATTAGAATGGTTGGGTTGCTGAGGAAACCAAGTCTAGGGATCTTACTAGGTTCAGTCAACTTATTTTTATTACGAAACAGTCATGTTTTGAAATGGGTAATATGAGATTGATATAATGGTAAGAAGTTTGGTGTGCACAATTTCACAAGACTGGCATTCTGAGGGTCATCTCGCTGCTCTATAGCCCAGACTAGCTCTGTTGTCCATCTTCTACCTACTTAAATGTAACAATTTCAGATACTCTCAGTTCCCTTTCTAGTAATAATGAATTACTGAGGTTTTATCACAGAATACTTAAGTATGTAACACAAAAAGGCAGGCAAGGAATTTCTAAATGGTGTTAGACAAATGAAGCATAAGAAGAAAGAAGATGTGGTCTATGATGTAATTTTTTTGTTAAGTCTATCATGATGAGAGAGGTCAACCACAAAACCATAAAAGATTAGCTTGGATTTACCATCTCATAACATCCAAGTCACATATATACATACCTTGTAATAAATGGCTTTCATCTAAATGTTTCACAATCAAGGCTTGAAATTCTTTACTGATATTCTGATGATCCATAAGAGAAAGTCGAAGACCATTTACATCCTGATAAAGTAGAGATTGGTGAAGTAAATAGTTAATACCTACTTCCTACAGCTAAACTACTTTTCAACCAAGCAATGAGTCTAAAAGAATAAAGTTAATTTTCCAATAGATATATGCATGTTTCTTAGGCAGACTAATAGAAACAATGTTTGCTGGCACCAAAATGATGAAGCAAACAAACTCTAAAGAAATGAATAGCAAATAGAAGAGATGACATTCAATTCCTTGGTTAGCCACTAACTTTTAGCAACTAACTAACATTTAGCAAGCTAAATTATGACTGCCAAAAGCCAAAAAGATGAGAAATAGTTCCAGGATAGCCTACAGTTTGACAATACCAAATGGCTAAGAATGTGGAAAATGTAGTAGTAACAGATGATTAAACCTAATGCGACTGAAAACAACACCCAAAGTCTACTTCAAGAGTGAGGAACCTGAGGCCGTCAGGCCAGATGTGGCCTTCTAGATCCTTAAGTGCGGCCTTTTGATTGAATCCAAATTTAAAGTTCGTTCTGTAAAATTTGGATTCAGTCAAAAGGCAGCACTTAAGGATCTAGAAGGCCACAGGTCATCTAGTTCCATACAAATCAAAGGCAATGTTAAATTGATGATGGGTTTGGTACCAACATCAAAGCATAGGACAAGACTACTTAGATAGTTATACCATCAGCCACATCCATGTAGAAAGCACACAGAATGTTCAATCTTTTCCTCAACTTACAAAAAACAATTTTTTTTAATTAACCAGCTGAGTGTTGGACAGGTGATATACTATTGTGAAAGGAAGGCATAAGACATACTTGCTCCATTTGTGAAGCTTCTTAGAAGGAGGATAACACAAGTTATACCACTGCACTAAGAGATGTACAAGCAAAATGTGAAAAGCCAAAGGAAGAAAGGTTCAACAAAGATTAGCAGGGAGTAGGGGTGCAAATGGACCAGTTTTATTAAATATATATTCATTTTTTAAAAAACTATAATTTGGGACTTATGGTATCATGAATGACCATCTTTTTTATTTGACTGCTGATACTGATAATTACTGAATTTCAAATAAAAAATTTTAAATAAAGTACTATGGGAGGTCTGAATAGAAAAGGTCATTAGAAACTTAGGAAGACAACAGAAAGCTGTTTAAAGAGCTAGGAAGAGGGAAGGAAACAATATGAATAAAGGTGGGGGGTAGAGTGAGTGGGAGCATTCTACCAGGGTGTGGATGAACAGCCTAACTGGCCTGGAAGCCAAAGTAATATGAGAAAGAACAGGTAGAATACAGTATAGTGGAATCAAGTTAAAAGACCCACATTCAAGTCCTTTCTCTGACATATATGGGCTGTTTGTGACCATGGATCAGTTCCTTTGTCAATTTGTGTCTGTATCACTCCCTAAGACTGGAAATGATCAATCAGCTTAGGTGGAGAAAGGCAAAGGGAGTTCCCTAATGGGATAAACTCCAGGGTCCAAAACCAAGAACTAATAACGAGGGAAGGTGTAAATGAGATTATTGAGGGCCTCTCAGGTATGGACAAATAGAAGTTACTTTACAAGTGAGCAGCAGAGAGACGAGAAGAAGTGATAAAAAGGCAAGGGTAAGAACTTTTGAAGTTTTCAACCATCATGGAAATAGACAAAGCCCAAAAAGCAAGAAGAGTGCTTGTCTGTTCCTTTGTGATTCCTCTGTAAATGAAGAAACTCCTCCAAGGGCTGACAAACAACAGTGATCTCTTCCAATATTAGCATATAGGTAAAGTCAAATAAAAATGAAAATGACAATCATACAGGAAAAAACTACAAAATGGCAGTGTGAAACATAAAAGATACATGAAAAGAGGAAAAAATAATCCTTACACTCCATTTTACTGGGAGAAAGGGAGGTTTGGGGAATTCTATATGTTCTATGTAAATGAGCCTGTGGTCTTTACTAGCTGGAGAAACTAGCTCCCATAACTGCCATCTGTTCTCTCCCAAAATAACAGCAGCAGCAGAGGGGAAGAACCCATAAGCAAAGCCTCGACTTGTCAAGTCTTCAAGCTTCTGGACAGCTCTGACCTGTATAAACCAATTATGATAAACCACTGCTAGAACCTAGTAGTTAAGATCAACTTTTTAACTGACACGTGTTTAAAGCAGATCTAGTTTGAAGTTTACCTGTATAGGCTTCAGAAGGTCTTTAGAAATGAATATTCTTCTGTTTTCTCCAAGAAAACGGATGGAGGTAATGGATCCTAAACCAGTCTTATCCAATAGGGATTTGTACAGCTAAAACCACACAAAAACAAAGCAAAATTCACACATACTTCTTGATTTGGGCATCAGTATAAATAATATCAGCAGAACTCTGAAAATTAGAACTGAGAATTCTCCACTAAGAGAAAACCAGAATATAGCTTTATTTATTGCAAAAGCAATAAACATCATTGAAACCAAATATAACAATGAATGTGCATATGTGGTACATGTATTCCAAACCAGAATAAGATCGGTTAAAGGAAACATTATGGCCTTTGAAATAAAGTTTAAACCAGTAAGTACAAGGCAGACTTGTGGAACCAGAAAGCAGTGTAGTGTAATGGAAAGAGTGTTTAAGGAGAAGGGGGCCCAAATTCCACCTCACCTAACTTTGTGATAATGGACAAGCCACTTACCCTGATCCTTGAGTTCCTCTTCTGTAAAATAAGAGATGGGGGACACACCTGTGATTTCAGTCTAAAATGAGGGTTCTCTCTCTACCAATGCAGGTAGGCACCTTCTCTGCAATTTAACAGTCTTAAAGGTGTCTAACTCATCTGCTCTGACCAGATTAAAATGTAACAGTGAAATGTTTAACAAAATGAAAAGGCATTAAAACTTAATGTTAATTTGTGTTTCTAAGTCAATATATGGCCTGCAGGGATCTGTTTCTATTTGAGTTTAACCCCACTGGTCTAGGGCTCTGAGAGGTTAAGTGACTTGACCCCAGCTTTCTGTCCCTTGAGACCAGCTTCTCTATCCACTACAGCATGCTGCTTTCTTAGCTCTAAAATGGGCATAACACCACCACAGAGCAGCTGTGAGGTCTGATTTAGGAAATGTATGAAAAATTCTTTTTACAAACCTTCAGTTCTTATTCAATCTTATTACGAAAAGTACTCTGCAAACCTGAAACCACTATATTAAGAAATTTTAGCCTCTCATTTTATAATCACAAAAACTGATTTTTATAAAAAGTATCACAACTTAGAAAAGCCTGAATCAGAACTCATTGTTTCCCAACTTCACTATACCAAGTTGTTTCTGGATAATTTTACTAATATAGTCAATTAATCAAATGTTTGAAGTGCTCTGGCTACAAAAACTTGCATAAAGATACTGTCATTGTGAACTACAAGCTTAAAAATCGTTACTGGGTACCAAAACTTAAATGAAAGAGTTTTAAGTCTCTGCCCCTAAGAAGTTTCCATAGTAATGAGGATGTGAACCTCACAGCAGTATATAAGGAAAACATGTTAAAAAAAAATTCAAGGAGGTTGGTTAGGGGAGCTTTCTAGGGGGAACTAGAAAGATTTCATGAAGAAGGAACACTTTAAACTGCCTCTTGAGCCAGGGATCCCAAGATGAGGAGGTAAGGTATTCTAGGCACAAGAAAGAACCAGAAAAGAAGAATGGAAAAGAGAAAGGACATCAGTCAGGAGGCTCTTCTAGTAGTCTAGGCAACAAATCAAAGAGGGAATGAAGCTGGGTGGTAACTGTGAGTGGACAGGAAGGGGAACAGGAGAGAGATGTGGAGGAAGCACCAAAGAGATCTGGCAATACACCAGCAATGTGTAAACATGAGGAAGGAGAAGAGGAAGGACGGTGGTATCTTCAGCTGTAAGAAGAAAGTTCAGAAAACAAGTGATTGAAGAGAGTTTTGCTTTATACAGAGTTAGAGATGCCTACGACATCCAGTTTGAAATGTTCCATAGGCAGGCAGCTCATGATGTAGAAATGAAGTTAAAAAGAGACTAGCGCTGGCTGAACAGATCTGAAAGTTATCTGCATAGGGATTAATAAATCAAGGCCAGGAGGATATAGAGAAAAGAGTTCAGGATAGAGTCAGTCAATAAACACTATGCATCTGTCATGTGCCAGGCATTATGCTAAGTACTGGGGATACAAAAAGAGGCAACAAACAAAAAACCCACAAAAATAAACAGTTCCTACCCTCAAGGAGCTCACAATCTAACGGGGAAGACAACAAGCAAATATGTACAAACGAATTACATACAAGAAAACAGGAAATAATTCAAAGAGCAAAGGCAATTTGATTAACTAGGAGGGATTGGAAAAGGGAAGATGGTATTTCAGCTGAGACTTGAAAGTAACAAAGGAGACAAAAAAAAGAGGTGAGAGTGCTCCAGGCATGAGGAAAAGCCAGAGAAAATGCCCAAAGCAGAGGGTCTTGTTGTGAAACAGCCAGGAGGCCAGTGTCATTGGATTGGAAGAGTACAAGGCAGGGAGTAAGGTGTAAGAAAACTAGTAAGGGAGGAGGGTGCTGGATTATGAAGGGCTGTGAACACCCAACAGAGCCATTTGTTATTTGATCCTGGAGACAAGAGGGAGCCAGCCAGTGGAGTTTGAGTGGGAGGGGGTGAAATGTTCAGACCTGCATTTTAGGAAAATCAATTCAGTGGCTGAATGGAGGACAGATTAGAATGGAGAGAGACTTGAGGCAAGCAGGAAGATCCACTAGTTGGTACGGCAATAGTGTAGGCACAAGGTGTGGTGGTGGTGTCAAAGGAAAGAAGGGTACATATTTGAGACACGGTGTAAGACTGCAAGCTCTTTTGAGAGCAGGGACTTGCTTGTCTCTTCTTGTATCCCCAGCGCCTAACATAGAGCCTGGAACATGGTAGGGGCTTAATAAATGTTGATTAATTTATTGACCAGATGAAATTGAAAGGGCCTGTCTTGAGATACACCTACAGTTAGTTAAAAGAGCCTAGAATCAATAAAGTCAAATTCTAAAAAACACAAGAATAATATAGAATCGAAAAATTAAGTGCTGATTTGTTAATATTATAATGGAATTAAAAGGAAAGGGACATCAAGAGTTCATTCTCTTACTATTAACAAGTTGTGTGACCTTAATCAAGTCACTTCATTTCCTTAGGCCTCCTCTTAAAAATAAGAAAGACTAAAGATGCAGACAATACTAATGCATATTGCCAGCAACTGAGAAATCCCATATCAAAAGATAGTCCACTCCATTTTGAATTTTGGGGAAATTCTTTATATATAGAGTCAAAAACTTGCTTACTAGGGGTGTACAGAATAGCCCTTGAAATATATTAAGACAGTGATCTTGTTCTCCTAAAGACTTTTCTGAAATCTAAAAACGTTACGTCCCTCAAATTGTATCTAGAAAACCAAGCAAATCCATCTGAAAAAGACTACTCTAAAAGTCAACAATATTTCTTTAAAGGAAAGGGAACCAGAAGAAGAGTCTAGCTCTCTCCTAAAGGAAAAAAAAGCCCCAGGACAGGTTCTGATGAATGGCCTGACAGAGGGCACTGATTTCTCATTCCAGGTCTCGGGGGCTGGAATCCTGGCTCTGCTCTTGACTACCTGTATAATGTTGGGTGACCTCTCCAGGCTTCAATTTCCCAACTATAAAGTGAGGAGTTGGGCTAGAGGAGTGCTAAGGCCTCTTCAAGCTCTGAACCTATGATCCTAATTAGTGAAAAATCTGACAGTTATAGGAATGTAGGAAAGAACAAAGAATCACATGATAGAAAAGTGGAAATGTTTCATAAAGTTAAATGGACAATCATTTTAAAAATGTGTTTTTTCCGTTTCTGCCCTTTTCTTTTGTCCTTATGTTCACATACACCAATGAGACATGTCTAGAGAAGTGAAAATAAAAATAATTACCCAAAGTGTGGTGCGAGGGACCCAAGCAAAATTGTCACGTAAAGGTGACTTAAGATGCCACTACTTACTAATGAGCAATAACAAGAATAACAAAAAGGACGGAAGACCCAACTTTACGTCTTCCTCCCTGGAGTCATGTGAACTTGGACAAACTGACTCCATTGCTCTGAATTAGTTTCCCCATTTGCAAAATGAGGGTGATAATTAACACTTGAGCTATCTACTCATGAGAGGTGTTGCAAAGATCAAAGCATAATTATGACTTCATATTATAAAGAATCATATAAAAGAAAACTAATGACATTTTATATATTTTCCTTCTTGTAACAAACTTTATTAAATTAAAATACCTACGAGTAAATGGTCACTTAACAGTCAGATTTTCATAAGGCTGTGCCATGCCAATCAATCAGTACATTTAAAACAAACCTAGGAACCGTTTCAAATTTTCAACTTGCATGACAGTCATTTTTTAGAATGCTTTCAAGCTCACAAATCTAAGTGTTCTGCCATCTTTCTGGATGGCATCTGGCTCCTTCCTCTCCACCTCCATCTCCTGATATAATGAGACCAACAGGCCCATTAATTTAGCAGCAGCCACCTTACTTTGCCATTCATTCAATCGTTGGGTTCCACTGCTATTCTGTGCATCGACCAGCAGCAGCCTCACATGTGGAAGACAGTCATCACACCAACAGGTGGTATCTACTGTGATGCTTCCTTTCTTTGACTACCTTTACCTGTTATCTTTTCCCCTTCCTTACCTTTTACCTCCCCCTTTCCCCAATTAATCACCTTCACTTTTCCTCCCTCCCCCAGCCTTTCCTGGGCACCCACTTCAGTGCTGTCCTCATTTAGACTCCCAATGAAAAGAAATAAAAACGTGGCATCAATGAGCCTGGGTTCAAATACCAGCTTTGCTGCATCCTTCCTGTATCATATGACCCTGGAGCACTCATCTAATCTCTTTTTCTCTCTCTCTCTCTCTCTCTTTTTTTTTTAGGCAATTGGTGTTAAGTGACTTGCCCAGGGTCACACAGCTAATAAGTGTCAAATGTTTGGTCTGAGGCTGGATCTGAACTCAGGTCCTCCTGACTTCAGGACCGGTGCTCTATCCACTGCGCCACCTCGCTGCCCCTCATCTAATCTCTCTACACCTCAATTTCCTCCTGTGTAAAATAAAGGGATGGGGGTAGGGGAAGACAAACCTCTAAAGGTCCCTTTTTAGCTGTACAGACTACAACTTTCTGCCACGTCTACTTCATACATCCCAAACTAGATTACCAACCTTGGTGACTGTCTTTCTTTTATTTCAATTCCTGGAGAGCCTTGCTAGAACTCAATAACAAAATTATAAAGGCCTAGTCACCAAAAAGGGGGGGGGGGGGGGAATCAGGCTTTCCAACTTTGCTTGGTCCAAAAGCTGCTGCTTAGCAATCCTTCCGATGAATTCAAACAGACATTAAGTGCAGACAGTGTATAAATCCTTTGATTTCTCTCCCGTGGATTCCCTAGATATCGCTTCAAATTGTCACTAAGCACCCTATTTCATCCCCTCATCTTGCCTGTCTGGAAGATGATCTCACCTCTTATAAGTAGGGGCACCTCTACCTTTCACCAGCTTCACAAATCCCTTTCCACCGCTCTGAAGAGCCTCTCTCTACCAACAGCTTCCCATTCCACCAGCTAAAAATACATTCCAAATATTCTTCAAGACTCACTTAGGTCAGTATTTAAATATACTGAGAGATAGTTAAGTCTATTTATTCACATCTCAGATTCAATTACTACACTTATTTCACTCAATGGCCAACTAACAACCAGCTGATGGTTACCCTGGAGACACAGCTTCAGAATTTGGGTTCTAACGGCAGACCTAGGTGACAGCAGAAAGCTTCAAACAGGCAAAAGCCAACCTGACAAGTATCTGGAGGGGGTCAGGGAGGATGGTGGTTTGTGCCTGCAATCCCTGCTGCTGGGGGAGCCTGACAGTCCTGAGCTGCAATGGGGTAAGGTGATAAACGTATCAGCACCAAGTCTGGCACAAAACGGTGAGTCCCCAAGCACAGGAGCAAAAGCCTAACAAAGCTAACAAAGCAAAAGGCCTAAAGAGGCTCACACTGGCCCGGGTCAGAAAACCAGAGCAAGTTAAAGCTTCTATGCTGATTTGGACTGGAAATGAGCCTATAGTTTCAAAAAAAAGAAAAGCAAGAAGGGGCACAGAAAGGAGTTTAGAAGGGTCCCACCCATCAAAGTTTAGCCAGGCCCACAGTAGCCCCTATACAATCTGTCCCAATTCGATCTCTTCCACTCTCCTTTCTCTCTACCTTCAACAGGAACAGCTCACCTAGTCTAATGAAGCACCTTCTATCTCATTTCACTCCTTCTGCTTTGTTCAGTCTCTCAAACAGAGCTGCTTGCCCTAGTTTCATAGCCCTACCTCTCCTGCCACAATGCCATATGCAACTACTAACTGTCTCCCATCAGCAAACTTCATCCCCAGTTTCTTTTTATTCAGGTCAAACAGCTGGACAGAGGCCCTAGGAGAAATGCAAAGTTCAAGCAAAAAGTACAGCCCCTGTCCTCATGCAGCTCCCATCCTTGGTTTCTGCACTATTAAGCTGAGGTCCACATTCCTATCTTCAGACTTTGAAGGAGACCCAATCAGAACCTACCTACTTCTACATCCTTACCCTCTTAACAGAGCCACTAGCCATTTTCCCCTTGTACTTTTTCTGTCAACTTTCTTATTCTATTGAATTTGCAGGATTTAGAAGGTGAGTCCTCATTGTGGAGGTGAGGAGAGCTTCTTGGAGCTCCTTCTATCTCATGGAAAGCTGTCCTACCACTCCATTCTCTGGGTTCTGTTAGCCCGTCCCCTCCCTGCAATGCTTTCCTGGCTCCTACCGAGTCTGTCTGTCATTTCTACCTTACCTTGACAGTTCTCCACAATCTGGCTTCAACCTGTCCTTTTCAACCTCTCCTCTCCTGTCCTGTCCTTTCCTCTTACCTGAGGGTGTCCTGTCCAAAGGAAGGCAAATTTTGATGGCTGAAAGCTACCTCGTTAGCGTGGGGTTTACTGGCTACATTTTTTTCCTCAAACACCAAGCCTTAAACCCAATTCACTCTAGAGCACATAGATTGGACAATAGGTCCCTGCCCAAGCACCATCTGACGGTTATTTTTTGGGCCCTCCTGGCTCAGAGTGAATGTAAATAGTGACTGTTTCTCTTTTGGACAGCAACCCTGAGCAACCCTCCCAGTTGGATTTTTTTTTTTTTAATTTAAGGGGCCATCCCTGGACTCATTCCTTAAAGAAGCCCATTTACTGAATGGGCATTACCTCAATCAAAGTAAGAACCTGAAAAGACCTTAGCTTAAAAGGGCCAGGGTCTCCCATTGCATCCTGGGCCATCTCCAGTCTTCCTGATGAATATCTGGACACTGAACCCAGATGTCTCTGGAGGAAAAAGTGAGGCTGGTGACTTTGCACAGCCCTCCCTCACTCAAACCACAGTCAATTGCAAGTCACATCTTCATCTCCCTGATGTCACGGTCCTCTTCAAGAATAAAGGACAAACCACAACCACAACCCTGTTCAACACTACATTAAACACCTTCTCTAATATGAACCCAATTCCTAAGAATGCAATAATTCTCCCACTACACACACACACACACACACTCTCACACGCGCTATTTCTAATGCGGCATATTGTACTGGCTCACTATTCTCCAAGACCATCCCCCCACACACAAATACTATCTTAATTCTATTTATCTTTCAAGGCCTAACACAAATTTCACCTTTTCTACAAAATTATCTCTGAACCACTCAGATCATGAAGAGATTACTAGCTAGACAGTACAGACGATACAGCTATGGACAAGATGACCTATGAAATTCCTTCCAATTCTGACACTTATGATCTGACTTTATTACGACCTCTGGTAACCCTTCTCTGAAATCACACATTAACTTCCCTCACTCACTTCAACTGTGGTAGTCACAGAATTCCCCGGAAAGGCAAACATTCCAAAGCTCAGAGGGGGCCCTGTATCCTACATGCCTCCTCCACACACCTGTTGTCCAGAGAAGGCTGAGGTGTGTACAAGAACACACACTTGAGCAAATACCTCCACAGAGCAATGACATCCCTGAGGTTGGGCCACAGAAGCCCATTCAAATTTTTAGGTTCCATAAACCAGCACAGGGTTCATATTTTAGAGTGTAGAATACTATGATGAAGATCTGTCAGATTTCAAGAAACTATCAGACTTAAATCCTAGATTTAAAGAAACTACACAAAGTTAAAATAAGTTATTTTAGAAAAGGAAGAAGTTAGTGAAAATCCTAATTAAAATATTTCTTAATGATTTTGTACCTCATCCCTGAATTTCATTTACTGTCAACTAACAAGAAAGAAATGTACCTTGAGTTATTTTCACTTATATTCAAGATAAAGGTATACTCAGTAATCAAGTAGGACAGCAGGCTAAGCTGTTTTCAAATATCTATTTTTCCCTCCAAAATCAGCACAATGACGACATCTGTGAGATGCTGAAAAAGTTCTCTTTTGTTACATGTCAACTAGGAAGGCTCAGAAGGCTTTTACTCACTATTGCAGGCCACTGCACAATCTCAGCCGACTGCCGCTCAGCCAAAACCAGGTTATGTTCTACTAAAAAGGCCTTCCTTTGAAGGCTATATACTTCGATCCATCTTCTCTTCTTCCATGATTCTCCATCAAATTCCACACATACCTAGGAAAGAGAGGGAAGAGAAAACCTAATTGAAACAGTAAAACAAACCAGTCAATAGTAGAAAGATCCCATGGTTACTGGCCCTATGCCACACCTCAAATATGTATATTTCTCACTTTATTTTCTCCTTCTTTCCCTACCATCTACCATTATAGCATGTCTTCTTGATCATGATGAGTAAAGAAAGTAAACCAGGATTTCTGGTCTGCAAAACCTTTAAACCAGGGAAAATAACTCCAAGTCACTTCACAGTAAATCAAATGAAAAAAAGTATGGTTCTTAGGGCTGCAAGTTCGGTATGCCATGAGAATTTCCTAGGACTTTCTACACTCCATGATACTACTGGCCAATACCACCTTTCTTCTTCCCTTAGGCCGAGCACAATCACATGGCATATGGCAGGTTTTGGCAAAGGCTAAAGCAAACCTGCAAATCTTAACAATCTGACGGCCAATAGTTTTCAGAATCTTCTCATGTTTAATTTCAGTGAACTGAGATAGGAGAAAGCACTGGCTCTGGACCTCTTTGCCAGTCCCTAGCTGTGACTGTGGACAAATCACTTCCTAAGCCTCACTCCAAGTGAGAAGCCTCTTTAGGAATCATCTTGGGCCTCAGTTCCCTCATCTGGAAAAAGTGTAATAGTATTTGTATCACCCACCTCAATGTGAGCCACAGTGCAAGAAAACCCTGGAGAATCAGGAGGGCAAGTGTTTGAGCCAGACCAGTTGTAGGGGTTTGAATTTCCTGTAATGGGCCTAAGAAAAGACTTGCACAAATGAAGAAAGGGCTTCACAGTTGTATGGAAAGCTGCCTCAGTCTCCACTGACTGGTTAGTTTTGCTGAACTGTTTTGTTTTTCTCATTTTTTGTTTAGGAGAGGGCGCTCTGGGAGGATACAGGCGGAAAGAGTAGATTGGCATTGATAAAAAAATTTTTTTAAATAAAATACTTGTATCTAAGAGGGTTGTTTTGTTGTGAGTAAAGTGCTGAAAAACGTGTGAGCTATTTATTATTCCCTTATAGCAGGTTACTGTGAGGATCAAACCAAATGTAGGTAATAAAATGCCTCATAAAAACTAAAGCCTTATATAAATGTTAGTTATTATTTCCAAAACACTAGTTATTTATCAAGTAACTCAGCGAAGTCACTGTACCTCTGTACCACAATTTTCTCCTCTGTAAAAAGGAAGGCATTGGATGAAATGACCTGTCAAGCTCCTCCCAGATCTAAATCTATGATGGTACTTCTGAATCAAACATTTCCCAAACACTTATTTATGAACCCCAGAGAGACTTCAAAGTAGAAGTCATATATTTACAGGCTAAGCACTAGAAGGGTTATCAGGGGCCAACTCTCTCATTTTCCGGATGAGTAACTGAGCCTCTGAAAGGTTATGGGGCTTGGCTGGGACCACAAAGTTAGCAAGTGACTGAGGCAGGATGTGATACCCTGCCTTCTTGACTCCAGCTCTCCATCTGTGACACCACGGATTGTCTCTACTCCCTAATGGGCTTCTTCTACTCATCACTTTGGGAGGCATGACAAAAATTAGAGAATTTTTGAGCTGGAAAAGACCTCAAAAATCACCTAACCAAATCCCCTTATTTCAAAGTTAAAAACACCTAAGCACTATAGATACTGTTTAGCCACCCAGGTCAACCCAATAGTGTGTGGGATAGTACAAAAACTGACCTCTTTACTACAAGCAGTTTCATGTTACAATTGTACAAGGGATAAGTAAACAAAGTTAGAACAGTGATCAATAAGTAATGGGATATTGTCATTTTTCAATTCTACAAAAAAGGAAGATTTAAGCTAGTTCTTAAAAAAATATCAACAATGGTATGGGGAAAATGCTCCAAAATGCTAATGAGAAATGCAAATTATAATTTTAAAAAATGGCTGTGGGAAGATACACACATTAATACTACTTAGTGAAACTGAAATGGTTCAACCATTTTAGATTTGGAAGTGAGGAAAGCCACTAAAACTAAACTCTCCATATACGTGAACCGAGGCTTTCCACTACTGAGCACATAGCCCAAATCAAATCAAACAACCACTAATTAAAACACCTACTAGGTGCCAGGCACTATGTTAGGCACATGAGAGATACTCACAGAAGTGAAACAGGCCCTGCAGAGCTTACATTCTTTTGAGAGAAACATATATATAAAAGTATGTCCCCCCCCAATCATCCTTTCTGACCACTCACTCACACAGCCCCACCCTACTTTAGGCTCCCATCACTTCGCACCTAAGCTACTGCAACCACCTCCTAATTGGTCTTCCTGCCACCCACTCCAATCTACCTTCCACCCAGGTGCCAAAGTGATTTTCCTAAAAATGCAGGCCTGCCAATGGCCCCCCCACACCTATACAAACTCCATGCGCCCCAATTAGCTCCAGGATCAAATAAGAAGGCCTTTGGCATTTGGAGCCTTTCAGAAGCTGATCCCAACCCACCTTTTGAGCCTTCTTCCCCTCCACACACAATATGTGCCACTTAGGAAGGCCTATTTACTGTTCCTCATACAGGACACTCCATGGCTTGTCTACATATCTGAACTACTCCCCAGCTTCTTTCCTATTTTGTACTTCTACACATACACACCCCATCCCCCAGCTAGACTGTAACCTTAAATTCAGAGATTACTGCACGTTTGTCTTTATACCACCAGCACCTAGTAGAACACCAAGTATATTTGGGGCTTAAAGGCATTGAAACGGGAGATGGTTAGAGATCATGAATAGGTCAGGATGGCTGAAGGGGAACAATGTACAATAAACCTGGAAAGGTAGGTGGGAAGCAGACTGTGAAGGGTTTTAACTGCCAAACACATACATACAAACATATATATACATACATACATATATGACACAAAGGTAAAACTCACTGAAATTCAATATAGTGTTTGACAAACCCAAAGATTCAGGATTTTGGAACAAGAAATCACTATTTGACAAAAATTGCTGGGAAAACTGGAAAGCAGTTCAGCAGAAACTCACATCTCACACCGTATACCTGAGATATGGTCAAAATGGGTACATGATTTATACATAAAGGGTGCTACAATAGGCAAGTTAGGGAAGCATGGAAATTTTAACTGGTCACAATTATGGATAAGGGAAGAATTTATGACCAAACAAGAGATAGAGAGCATTATGGGATGTAAAATGGATAATTTTGATTACATCGAACTTAAGTTTTTGCACAAACAAAACCAATGCAGCCAAGATTAGAAGGAAAACAGGAAACTGGGCAAAAAAATTTTACAGCAAGTTTCTCGATAAAGGCCTCATTTCTCAAAAAGAGAGAAATGAGTCAATTTTATAAGAATACAATTCATTCCCCAATTGATAAATGGTCAAAGGCTATGAACAGGCAGTTTTTAGACAATCAAAGCTATCTATAGTCACATGAAAAAATGCTCCGAGTGTAAATCACACAATTGATTAAAGAAATGCAAATTAAAAGTGAGGTACTACCTGACTCCTATCAGATTGGCTAATATGACAGAAAAGGAAAATGACAAATGTTGGAGGGGATGTGGAAAAATAAGGACATTACCACATTGTTGGTAGAGTTGTGAACTGATTCAACAATTACAGAGAGCAATTTGGAACTATGCCCAGAGAGCTATAAAACTGCATATCCTTTGACCTAGCAATACCACTACTAGGTCTATATCCCAATGAGATAAAAGGAAAAGAACCTGTATGTACAAAAATATTTATTATAGCAACTGTTTCTGGTGGCAAAGAATTGGAAACTGAGAGGATGCTCAACAACTGGTGAATAGTAGTTGAACAAGTTGTGGTAGATGATTGTGATAGAATACTATTGTGTAATAAGACAAGCAAGATGCTCTCAGAAAAACCTGGGAAGACTTATATGAACTGAAGCAAAGTGAGATGAACAAAACCAGGAGAACATTGTACACAGTAACAGCAATCCTGTACGATGATCAATTATGAATGACTTAGCTATTCTCAGTAATTCAGTGATCCAAGACAATTCCAAAGGACTTGTGATGAAAGTACTGAGAGTCTGGATGAAGACTGAAGCCTATTTTTTTTACTTTATTCTTGAGGATTTTTTTGGGACGTGCATTTTCTTTTGCAACATGGATAATATGGAAATGTTTTACAGGACTGCACATTTATAATTTATATCAAATTGCTTGCCTTCTCAAGGAGGGGGAAGGGAGACAGGAAGGGAGAGAATTTGGAAGTCAAAATTTTAAAAAAGAACATTAAAATTTTTTGTTTGCATGTAATTGAGGAAAAAAATTAAAAAAAAAAAGAAATAAATTCAATGACAGGATCAGGTCTGTGCTTTTAGACTCACTTTGTCAGCTGATGGAAGATGGATTGAAGAGGGGAAAGTCTTGAGGAGAAAAGCTTAGGAAACTTACAAGGCAAGACCTCAACTACAGTGTTGGTAATGTGAGTACCAAGCAGATAGATCTAAAAGCTATTGTAGAGGTAGAATCAATAAGACTTGGCAAACTGATTATGTAGGGTAGGAGAGATGAGTCAAAGATGACTCTGAGATTGTGAACCTTTGTGACTAAAGGATGTCATGTCTTCAACAGAAAATAGTAATTGTGGGGGTAAGATGAAATAATGAATTGTTCTGTAGTTTTCCCTACAGCACATCCAGTTTGAAATGTTCAATAGGCTATTGGTGATATGGGCCTGAAACTCTGGAAATAAGGCTGGACATATAGATGAATCATCTTCATAGAGATTAAAAATAAATACTTAAGAGTTGATGAGATCAGCAAGACAGAGAACAGAAAGATGGTCCAGGACAAAGCTTTGGGGTATTATCCACAGTTAAGGGGCAGAATATAGATGCTATCACCTTTGATGTACAATTCACCCCATCATCCTATTGTATTTTCCGGATGATCATTTTTACTCCTATTCTTCTGCAGACTGCTAATACCCACCATGTACCTCCCCAATATCCCACCATATAACTTCATTTTTAA